TTCCGCTTGTGGCGCCTGTTCCGCCGCTGGTGTCGGTACCGGTGCCGGTGACCAGTCTCCCACGGAAGCCGCTCGGCCTTGATACGGGCCCGGTCGCCGCCGTGCGGTCCGCCGCTGGTGTACAGATGACCAGAGTACGGCCGACAGACCGTGCCGAGGACCTCACAGCGCGATGAGACCTCATGGAGCGGTCCCGAGCCTGCATGAAATGGACCCTGAGACCGACTGAGTTTATTTGGATAGCTGGTTTATTTGGATAGGCGCCGGGGTAGTTCCCAGATGAGTTACAGCTATATCGCTAGCCCATGTTTCTTGATTATATTCAGTTTCATATTTCTACTCTGGATGTCCATACGTCGTTCGTGGAGTCAGCGGTCAGTTCGGTCGAGGTCAGGACATCTGATACATTTGGATGTGTGATCTATCCGGTGGGAGGCCCACAACAGGGTAGTGAGATCAGGAAGGATTAGGAAACTGGCTGAATTCGGTCTTTTTAGGCTTCTGAGTATTCTGTATTGTAGGTATAGGGTATAGTTGTATACTCGGGGAGATTGCGCTCACGCTCAGGCTCCTCGTTTTAGATATCCGTTATCCATGGACCTCGTGCTGAATATCCACAAATCCCCTGTGAGTGTTTGGACGGGCTGATGGACTCAGCGTATGTCCACCAGAGCCAGGCTCAGTCTGGTTTGGTGGAAACGCATGGACTCTGACCTCTCTAAATGAGCACGTCTTTGTTCAGAGCAACGCTGTCTGGCGTCTGCACTCTGGCCTGCAATCTGACTTCTGGCATGACCCGGCCGAGATGGTCCCACGCTTCTAGGCTAGCCGATATCACGCACCAGTTCTCACCCTACGACTGTCATTCAGCCACAGATCCGGCCGCATCAACCGCTCGGAAATCCTCCCTCTCCGCGCTGGCCGACTGCCTTTGTGAGCGCTGCCGGCCGGCGGCCACTGGCGGAGCTCTGCCGGTCAGCTGAGCTGTGAGATACCATCAGGCCGGTAACTCTGCCCCCCCCCCCCCGCCCGGTGGATAGGATGGGAACGGTATCCTGCCGGGCGTGGCTGGAATGAGAGGTGGCTGAGCGAGGTAATGGTAAAGGAGAGGTGCGTGGTTGGATAGAGAAATACGTGCCTGATTTGAGCTACGCATGGCTAGATGGAGAGGCTCGTAGCTCGTAGCTATCCAGAAGGCTCTGTGGATGGATGCAGACTACAGACGTCTGTCGTCGGCGGGTTGCTCGTGGGCGGCTTCGACTCTGGACGCAGATAGCCGGTGTCAGTAGAATGATCAGCAATGTGGCACTCGGTGGTGGGCCCAGGCCCACAGCTCGCGGCGTTTCGTCTGCAATCGACAGTGATGATGTGGGCCTGGGCAGAGAATTGACGTCTGGCTGTTTTGGATCTACAATGTAGCGGTCACCATCTCAAATCATAAAGAGAGCTGTGCAAGTGTGCACTGTGGTACGCGGCGCGCGCCATGCACCCCTTGAGACTGCTGCGGCTGCGGCGCGCGGCGTTTGCAGCTCCCGTGGTGGTTGTATGGTCTGCCGAGCGGGACGGAGCGGGCCGGGCCAGTTTGTGTTGCGGCTGATGGGCTGAAGGTGGCGTGTCGCGGCACGTCCCCGCTGCTCGGTGAGGGGAGGAGACAGGCCAGATGACAGGCACCGCGCTGCAGTCTGGCGGCCAGACACAGCCGCGCTGCCGCCTCAGTTTCACCACTCGCCGACCGCATGCTATCGGCTCTCCCTGTCTGTCCGCCACGCGGATCGCCTTTGTGATTATTTCCCTTCCTCCCCTTATCTGCTGTTAGTAATTCCCTCCAGCCCGTCTCCTCTCCTCCGGCGGAGAATTCTCGCACTGGCGTGCCGTGTCGTCACCGGCGGTCATTCGTCTCTCACCAGCCGGCAGAAGTGCGCCGCTCGGTGTCGCGAGCTGTCTCTATTTGTGTGTTCATGGCTCCCTGGTGGCGCCGCAACGTGGTGCTCTGCCCCACCGTTGTCGGCCCGCTCGTGCCATGGACCCCTCTCCCTCTCCCCTCGGTGGACCGGCTCCCGTCCCCGTCCCGTCTGCTGTGCCCCCCCCCCCCCCTCCCCCTCCCTCAGTGAGGTGTCGCCGACCGAGCATTGATCTGTTATTTCGGCCGGCGCCGCGCGGTCCGCCGGCGTTATTAGGCCCCGTGCCGTGTGATGCGCTGGCTGCCGTTTTTTGTCATAGCCGCTGCAATGGCGGCGGCGGCGGCGGCATGGTGGCAACCTTTAGATGGCCTTGGTGGCAACGGTAACGACGATGGGAGGAGCAGCGGCGTCGGCGATTTTGCCATAGAGCGGGGAGTTCCCTCATGTTTGCGAGTGCCGGTGGCCAACAATGGCACTGGCGCAGGCCTCGTCTGCCGTCCACACTCCTACAGCCGACCAGCTACCTCCGTGTTCCGTGGCTAGCTGTCTGACATCCGGACGGATAGAGCCGGCTCCTGCCCTCGCTGTCCTCTCGGCGTCTCTGCCTGGCCCGTCCGGCCGCTGTCCTCTCTGTCCGGCCCGTTCCGGCCGCTGTTGGAGCGGCGACCGCGCGTCGTCGGTGTCGAATGCTGCTCAAGGCCGACGCTGGAATGCGGCCCGGCTGGTGTGGGACCCATTGATGAGCGCGCCGTGATACGGAGCGCCCGGCGCGATACTGTCGCAGCCATGAGCCGGTCCGCACGCGGCGCGATACGGTTCTGCCACGCTCTGCTCGGCGCGGACACGCCGGTCGCTCATCTCCTCTTCTCCCTGCAGTATTTAATGCTATGGTGGTGTCTGGTTTCCCATGACTACATAATCCATTACTTAGTGCTTATGACGCAGCGCTGTCGTTCTGCCTTCCACCTTGAGGACATCTTGTCTGGGACCGCCGGGTCTCAGCTGTGGGCGGGCAGCTGTGTTGGTCCGCAGCTCCTCCCGGGCCCGGTGCGCCGCCGGCCCTGCGCCGCGGTGTGAACTGGACCGCGCCGTGGTCTGTGACTGGTGGCACCGCTGCTGGCGGCCTATAACAGGTTCTGGCGGCCGCCCGTCCACCGCCGCACCGCCGACCACGGGAAACGGGACGCGGATTTTGGAGAGTTTTTACCGCGCCGCCGCGGATTGTGAATCATTGCCAGGGAAAATGACGACGGCGTCGACGCTTTTTGCCGTCCTTCTTGTACGAACTTGGTGACCATCTGAGCTAAATCGGTCACCCATGCGTGAGTGGTCTCGTAAATTAGCAGCTCGTGAGTCGTGTTAGTTTATGTGGCAATAAATGAACCGGTTTGGATCACTTATCGTCACGACAGTCAATCTGTGTCTGGCGTTACCTCACAGAGAAAACCATCGCTTGTCACTGTGCAAATTTCCCCGTCGTGGAGACGTTTACTGGCTCGTTTTCGAGTCACAATCCATTCGTGGTATTATTTGTTTCGGAAGTGTTACTAATTTAGGCATTGTTTGCCTGAGCCTTGCGCCTTTGTTAATTGTTGCTCTCTTGCGACTGGCCCTGGCACCCGACCGGTCGGCAGTATTCGATCATTGGCCGCCAGCGGTCACCGCTCTGTGAACCGTGGTGGCCAACAACACCGAGAGAAAAATCACCGCCGCCTGCAATATATCGCCGCAAACGCACCGCTACCGTGCGGCGAAAACAACACACTGAGAGTCGCCACTTTGGTATCGATCGGCGAGATGTGGTGGCTTCGGCGGCCGCAACAAAATTCTGCTCGGACACAGAGCCTGCTGGGGACTCCTGTGCATTATTTAGAAACCACAAAAAGTGTCCGCCGTTGTCATGGCTCGGCGCCAGGGGCGACGTCGCTGCGCTTGGCCGGCGTCTCTCTGTTATCTCCTGGGTCCGAGAGTGACCGAGAGAGGCCGGCCATAGAGGCTGGCCTCTGTGGCCGCCGCAGTGGGCGGCTACTCACGGGACCAAGGTGGCTCGGCGGCGGCTCGGTGCCGCTCGGCAGCCGGCCGTCGCACCATCGATCCACGCCGGAAGCCATTTTCCCCGCGGTCCGACTCGACTCGGTGCGCGGCGCCCGACGCCGGCCTGAGAGTCGCGGCGGGGAGCGGACGGACGGACGGACGGGCGCAGCACCGGTCACTGCCGAGTCAGCCCGCTCCAGTCCCAATCCGGTCGGAAGGGCACAAACGAGCTGAGCTCAGCGCCGCCGGCCCGTCAGCGGCCTGCGCTGCTGCTGCGTCCGACGTGACCGGCCCGCCGGCGCTGGCCGCCTCGTTAAGATCACCCCTGACCCTGGACACTCGGTATCGAACTCTTATCGACGGATGACATTCGACCGGGCGGGACCGTGCCGGTCAGCTGGTCACAATTTAGTGCAACTGCCAAATGACGAGCAGTAAAACAGGCTTTGATTGAGGACCACCATTACAACCGGCGCGTTGAGTAACTGCCTTTCTTCCAAGGCTCAATTTACTGAACCCATTGTTCTTTCTGCGTGAGTGAAAATCCGGTCGTTTTCCTGCACTCAGATCTAATTCGATTACGACTCAGATAGAGACATCCCTGTTCTCTCTCTGAGCACCCCTTCAGCACCGGTTCAGTGTTCCATTGTTTCCCCCCCCCCCCCGCCCTGTCACCGTCTCGCTCAGACACCGGTCCCGTCTGCCGTCCCCGATGAACTGCGGCCATCCACCCATTGCCGGGTGCCGGTCGTGCCCGGACTGCCTGATCGGGCGGACGGCACGCCTTTATCGACTGGTGGACCATAGGGCGCCGGCCTCTGCCCGGGACGAGTGCCAGGGAGGGCTGACCCCATCCGTCCCCGTGGGTTCTCGGTGGTGGGAAATGATGGCGATCATCTGCTGGACACTTTCTTATTCGGTAGCTAATTTACCTACTTATCCTATAATTCATGACTGCTATAATTTTATGTGTGTATGTGTTTAGCACGTGTGTATAGTGGTCCAAATCGATAGTTGCTCGCCGATCTTTGACTGACGTGTCGTTCCCTCTCTGTGTCCTTTCAGAGGCCCTGCTGGCCACCCGACCGCGACAGCCGTTCCCGGACATCGGCGTCGACCCTGACCAGGTGTCGCTGGCCTCCAGCGTCACAGGTCAGTTCCGACGCGACCTCTGACCCGCCGGGGTCACCAGGGCCGCCGGGCGGCGCCATGAGAGGCGCCCGGTGGGGCGGGGGCGTCTTTATGGTCGTGCACCGCGATTGTGATTCATGTGCCTTGTCCCGCTGTCCCGCTGCTGTTGTGTGGAGGATGTGCAGTGTCAGAGTGGAATGCCGGAAGCCAGACACATGGACGACGCGCTCGGTAGAAATGATTTATGTGTTGTTTTGTTGGGCGGGATTTATGTCTTTAATGCATGGGTCGTTTAGTTATTTACTTGCAGAGAGCGGTGCGGCTGGTTCCATCAGCTGTGAGTAGACCCAGGTGTGATAAATGTGCGGGTATTTATGTGGCATTCTCTGACTCAATATCCGGGCGCGGCGCGATGGTGTTTCAATTTCCCAGCCTGTCCGATAGCGTCCGGCCGTCGACGCTCCAATATCTCCGCCACCCGCGGCTCGTTGGTCCGACGGCACCGGTCGGAGGCTGCCAGAGACGGTCGGGTCGGTTATCACGTCCCCGAGACAGACCGATGGCCAGATAACGCCGGTCACAGACAGCCGGGCAAGAGTTGTGTGCCCGCGCTGACCGCGGCACGGCGCACGGACAGCGAGCGGAGGCGAACGGAGCCCGCAGCGGAGCCGAGCAGAGCCCGCCGCGCGCCAGATGTGGGCCTGTGTCGCGTCCGCCGCCGCCGCCGGCCGCTGGGACCCCCATCTGTCGCCGACTTTCGCCGCGCGCGCGTGCGCGATTTCTCGCCACCCAGCGCGGTCGTCCGTCGGCGGGTCTGTGTGTGACGTGACGACGCGTGACGGCCGGCGTGACGACGCGTGACGACGCAGCCGTGACCAAAGGGACGTGGTCGCGGCGGGATGAGACACAGCCGTGGCGGCGTGTCGGAGTCTGGGACGGTCCGCACAGTCTGGGAGCCCGGATCTGTGAGACCAAAGCGGTGAATCCGATGGTGGAGATCGAGTTCGATGCGACAGGCCGTGGTCGACCACGGGCGTCTGTGCGACTCTGGGGAAAACCGTCGCCGCTCTATAGAATGGAAGACTGAGACGTGGAACATTTCCCTCGGGATATCTGTTCTGTTCCGACTTCTCTCGATGCATTGGCGGTCGGGCACTGTTTCGAGAGCGGATAAGTTATTGACGTTTTGGAGGCGGTCTCTCTTCCAGATACTCGACTCGACTTTGGCTTTAGGCTGTCGCCGAGTCGTAAAGTCTTCGAACAAAAACTATTCGCTTCAGACGATATCCTGACACCAGTATAACGCCTTATGGGGCGATTAACGGAGCGAGCGAGAGGGTGGGCCTTGCACGTGCGAAATTGCGAGGGGGTACCTCCAACTGACTTGTGCACGGCACCCTACTAACCGGTCTCTAGCGATGTGCCAAATTTGAGCACAATCGGCGCAGCCGTTCTCGAGATCTGGAAGCGGCACCCTGCACGTGCGCACGTGCAAAATGGGTCCCAACGGACTTGTGCACGGCACCCTACTAACTGCTCCGTAACCGTGTACCAAATTTGAGCGCAATCGGTCCAGCCGTTCTCGAGATCTGGAATCGACCCCTGCACGTGCGCACGTGCAGCAGCACCCCAACTCTGGCACATGGGTATGCATTGCCTAGTGGGTGCCTACCTACATGCCAACTTTCAGCGCAATCGGCCCAGTAGTTACCGAGATATTGCAACAATTACAAAAGTGACACCTCTTCGTTTTGCACGTGGCACGTGCATAAGGGGTCACCCACATGCATCGGGAATAGTGCAATACTTGGTAGAAGGAATGAAGCTACCCTACAAAATTTACCGCGTGTAAATCGGTCAAGTGGTTGCTGAGATATAAGCCTCGCAAAAGCGTGACCACGGCCGGCCGGCCGGCCGGCCGGCCGCTCATACTCAGAAATTTCCGTTAATCTAAGGAAAGACTACGCTCGCTTCGCTCGCTCCGTAATTAATGGTCATAACAAGCGGAATAAATGCCCACAAATCTAAAATAAATGTCGATGGGAGTCACCCACGCTCCAGATTACCAGTTCCTCCTGGGTACGTACATGACCTTCGCCACCACCCGGCTATCCACCGTCGCCACACACCGTCATTACCGCTCTACTGTGACCTAACTGCTGTCATCAGGCCTGATCGGTGGGACGCTCAATACGCCACGCTGCTGCCGCACGGCAGCTGCTCTGAATCCGTCCGTATCGATTACACAGCATTACCGGAGTCGGCTGAGCTCCTGAATCGCCGTGCTCCCCGGAGGCCGTCAATTGAAGGCCGGCTGTCCGGCACGAAGTCGACCGCTGCGGTATCTCAATCACGAGCCGCGGGTCGGGTCAGACGGGCCCGCTCTGAGGTGGATCGATTGGGTAGCCGGGGTGCGAGAAGGCAGTTCCAGATGTACAGAATTGGCGGAAAGTGAGAGTGAAAAGAGAGGCGCCCTCGGGTTGGGTCGAATATATGCTTTCTGCTGCGATTTCAAGCTGATCCCCTAATCAGGGTGAGGAACGCATGGATCAGATTGGAATAGATGCGGCCTCTGGGTGAAGTCTGGATCATAGTTGTGACTTGAGTCACGAGACGGGTCATTGTGGGTCATAAGACCCTGCGGCCTCGGTGTGACACTGGGTGGCGTTCTCTCAGTGGTTCACGCTGGTTATGGGCTAAGGTTGACGACGCGACCTGATTCGACTTCACAGTGAGGCTGTGACGGGACGACCTTACACCGTTACACCGTCACCCTACAGCCGTCACGGCGTCACCCTGCAGCCGTCACGGCGCCACACGTCGGCCGTCACGGTGTCACAACATAGCCGACAAAGTGTCACTCGACAGCCGTAACTGGCTAGAGAGTTGCCGTTTCCCCCGTCCTACCGAACGGGGCTAGCGTCACCAGAGGTGACCCCTGGGCCCGGACCCGAGCTCTCGAGCTGGCGTATGTATCAGACGGTCTGTGGTGGTCGGATGTATCCCAAAATTAATACGAGGTGCTAAGTGAGGATTGGAATGATGACAACGGAAGCAACAAAGGCTACCATAAGTCAATTGACGTGCCAGATGACTTTCTTTCAATGAAAGTTCGATTTTTTTTTCTACGACTTTCTACGAGGGTGTTTACCAAGTCATTGAATTCATCCAAACACCACCTGTGTCCCGTTTTCACCTCATGGATTTCTTTCTTTCGTAACACCTGAGCAAGTGTTGGATGGACCGCCTCATCTGACGCCAGTGACACTCCTCTGACATCTCGCCCTGTCGTTGACCGTGTCGGTTCGCCTCTTCGCATGAGATCCTGCCAGTCAAGCTTTCGATGCAAAGTTGTGCTCATCTTAAGACCTAAGGTAGTCCGGCAGCTGTGGTTCGTCTGTCTGGTCGGCCCACATGGTGTCGGCCGGACTTCCCGAGTCTTTTGTTCTGACCGCTCTCCGCGGGTCAACGGCGCCGCTCGTGAGAGGCGATTCGTGAGCCGTGATTCGTGATGCCGGCAGCCGCGACGGGGGCCGATCGTGACGCTGCCCGGTGAGGACCGTGACGCACCGGCGACACGCGGTGTGCCCTTTAAACCTTTGGTCCACATCGTGACACTTGAACGGGCGTGAGGCTTCAGTGAAGCTCGGGTGACCGGCTCAAGTGAGCCACTGATAGCGGCGGTGTGCCGGCCCTCGGCGGCAGATCGAAACTCCGCATTCCGATCTGCATTGCATATTCAATGCAGACATTGAAGAAGTAGAGTTTTCGTATAGCGTGATGGCAAATGGTTCAACCATTTGTTAATGACGGGAAATATCCTGGGAAAGCAATGTACCCGTTGTAGAGAGACACTCAGACATCCTATTGCACTCGCACTCAGTGAAGCGCATCGGTAGAAATCGACTATCAAATGAATCTCTTCAGATAATGCATTTCACGATTGAAATGCGCTATCTATCTATACCTGCGCAGCACAGTGTGTCGGACCTGGTCACACGACTCCCCGAGTCCCCAAGGACATTCGTGGTATATTTTCCCTGGCCCGGCAGGGCCGTATGTGATGTCACCACTCCTCGGCAGCTGGCGCCGGCGAGCTGTCAGCGCTCCCCGAGGGGTCACTGACCCCGCTGTGCCGTCTACAAAGCTGTCATTGGGGTGTCATCACCCGGTCGCGCTGCCGCGCACGGTCCGTCTCTCCCCCGACGGGTCACCATACGCCTCTCGGGCGCACTCCTCCGTATCCCCTTCCCGTGTGGCCCCGTCTCCCTGCTGCCCCGTGCCGAGTGTCGACTCATTGCGCTGCTCCGTCGTCACCGCTCTCTGCGATTGTTTGTTGCTACGATCGCTGATTAGGGAATCGCCTACGTGATTGCAGAGACGTGATGTCAAGTTATGATAATGATGGGAAATGTTGTGTTAACCGCGGCTGTCGCTTATCGCTTAGCTTGTGCTAATTGGTGGGACCTTGGAACGAAAGTGAGCATGGGTCACCTTCGCTGGGTCGTGCATGGAAACCGACGCGAGGCAGCACAGTTGATCTGTTTCTGAGAGTTTGTAGCGAAGTTGGCATCAGGATGCTGGCCTCCCTTGGGAGTGGATTCCCAGAGGATAGGTTCCAGCTCTCCATACAAAGGCTGCCTGAACTGGTTGACAAAGTTTGGATAAGGCGATAATGTGACCTTTTACGAGAATGTAGTTGTGTTATTGAATTACGGAACAAAGCATTGAGTTTGAGCTCAAAATGACATTTATGTGAGACACACAGCGGGAACCGGTGAACTCTTTGTGAACTTCCTTTTGTACCTGCACATTGACCCGTGTGGACAAGTTCTGATTCTCATCCGGTATTTTGACTTGAGTCGCCATTGTACCGTGAGACGTGAACCGTCGTGTGTCTGTTTGTGTATTGCTGTTTCGTCGTAATGTTCTCGTTCCCTTCACCACTGACGTGCTCCCGTCTCTGACCGTCCACTGGCTCCCTCCGACAGGCGGTCGATGGCAGAGCAAGGAGAACCTGCTCTCGGACATGGTCGACGATCCGGAGACGTTCGTCGCGCTGTACGACTTCCAGGCTCAGGGCGACAACCAGCTTAGCCTCAAAAAAGGTACGGCGGGGGTCCGAGAGAGGTCGCGGAGAGAGCGGAGGAGGGAGAGAGAGACAGAGACAGAGACAGAGACAGAGAGAGAGAGAGAGAGACAGAGAGAGAGGGGGTGGGAGCAGATCGGTGATCGACGGCTCCCCGATGATGCAATGTCGGGGGCGGTGCGGGGTCCGGGGTGGGACGTAGGGTGGGCGCTGTGCCCAGTTTTGATGTGGTCGCTCCCACAGTCTGGGACTGGGAGAGGGCGAGGGGAGCTCTGATGACGCGACCCTCGCTCTCTGTCTGCTGAAGCGGTGTCTGGGAAGGGTCAGGGGACCTTCAGTCCTGTGTCAGCCCTTACGCAGTGACCCGGTGGAACCCAGGGTGCGTATCGGCTCTGTCATCTCACACCGCTGTCGGTTTGAGCGGCAAGGCCTGAGTGAGCTTGACATCGCCCCGATCACCTGTAGCGGAGACGGCGCCTGTTATCTCACTGTTAGCCGCGCTTGTGTATCGGCTGTTGTGTTCTTGTCCGAACATGATGTGAGCGGCGGGGCGCACCGATGACGACAGATGTCATCGCTGACTGAGCTGATCGGGACGGGACCGACTCTGATCGTCACGTCGACACGTCCAAACTCATTCAGACATGACAAGCGTCGGCCGAACGACAGCATGAGCAGCGTTCATGTGCGATTGAGTCAGCTGGTGTGTGACTGACGAAAGTCGACCGGTCACCGCTCCTTGTGGAGCCCGGCTCGGTTAGGTGTCATGACTGCTGTGCTGCCGTGCCGTGCCGTGCCGTGACGGGGCGACGTTACCTGGGGCAGACACCTGTGGCACTGGCCGCCGGTCGTCGTATGACCGTTGCCGGTCCCTGGGGTGTCGGGCGACTGGCGTGTGTAACGCCTCAGGGACCGGCAGACTGTCTGTTAGACATCGATCACGAACGTCGGCGCCTCGCGGTCCGTGTCACGGGGACCCACCGTGAGTCACGGACGGTAGCGTTTCACGGGACAGAGCCAGCCGTGCTGCAGCGCCCGGGTTCTGTGGTCGGGAGGACTGCAGACCGGCTGGGGAGGGTCGGCAGTGTCCCCAGTGACCCGGCCGCCGTCGCCGCCCGGTCTGGCCCGGCCTCCGCCCGGCATAACGGCGGCGCCAGGCGGCCGGGCCGCGCCGCACCGCGCCGCCGCGCCCCCTGGCTGTCTCAGACGCTGTCCCAGCCGCTCCGGCTGTCTATGGGAAACTGGGCCGGAGCCGGCGGATCAGCTGGCTGGGGAGCGTGATTGATAAAATGGCCGGCCCGGCCGCCACGGAGGACGCTGATGGGCCCGGCTGATATACGGAGCTCGGTGATGTGTGGCCCGCCCGGCCGACCGGCCGCACAAGGTTATCGGTAGGGTGATGCATGGGATGCCGCGTGTGGGCGTGGCGCGGCCACAGGGTCTCTGTCGTGTCTTCTGTGGTGGATCAAAGGAGTACCGCCCCACACACCCAGCACCGGATGTTCCTCCGTGGGTGGATAGATGGGCCCGTCTGGCATCTTGTGTCGCGGCTCCAGTGTGGCGCTCATGGGTATGTATTTGCACCGTCGCTCGCGGTCTAGCCGGGAGGTTGAAGAGACTATGTGGTCTGTCGCCGTCTCGTCGCGTCCCCAGCCAGTGGCCAGTTGGCCGTCCCCGGTACCCCCTTCCCGTCCACCCGGCGCGCCGTAACACTCAGTTTAACGCTCTGACGAGCGCGTGCTTTACGAGCTTGGCACGCGTCCTGGCGACTGCGGAAGGTCGACCTGCCCGGTGCACGGCGTATGCTGGACTGGGGCCGGCGTACCATACAACAACCGGTGGAGCAGGGAATCAAATAGACGCTACCGGTCGCCAATGATGACTTTCAGATTGATCTGTCGCGGCCTTTTTTGGAAACATGTCTCATGATCTGTTTTAAACATGGTGCTGATTATACGACGTACGCCAGTCGCCATTTTTTGTGTTTTCTTGTATGTGCAGTGAAATTTCAATACTTATTGGCTGTTTCCGATTGCTGCAGTGACTCACCTCACCCACTAACCCTCTCCCTCTACCCCTTATGTTGTCCACAGGCGAGCAGGTACGCGTGCTCAACTACAACAAGTCGGGCGAGTGGTGCGAGGCGCACAGTATGAAGGGCGACGCCGGCTGGGTGCCATCCAACTACGTTACGCCAGTTAGCTCGCACGAGAAGCACAGCTGGTACCACGGCGCTATCTCGCGCAGCGGCGCAGAGTACCTGCTCAGCTCAGGTGAGTCAATGCTGAGTCGGAGTACTAACTCACGTGAGTTTATACCGAGCTAGAGTACCAACTCAGCTCAGGTGAGTTCTCGTCGATTCGTAGCGCCAGCTCAGGTGAGCTCATGGTGAGGCCGCTGGTAGCCAGTATCTGCTCGACACAGGTGAGTTATCTGTTGAGTCAATAAAACTGCCCTAGCTCAAATAAAACTGCTGCGACGCTTTGAACATGGTCAAGTCAACGAGTATGTTATTGATTCATGGTCTGTTATCTGCTCAGCTGAGTTTTCTGTTGAATCAGCTGGGAATGGATCAATGCGGAACATACACCTGGACTGCCGCCACCATTCAGGTAGATAAATGTATCGCAATTCTCAACTCAGGCGCAGTCCCATGTATCAGCCCAGCGGCCGGCACGAAAAGTTACAGTTCTAGACCAGCTATACATAGCTCCGGGTAATGCCACTCGGATGTGAGAGGCTATTTTGAGCGCTAGTTTCTGTACCTTCTCCTTGAACCGTTCAGAACAAGTGGATAACTTCTGGGTAGCCGGCGGACGTGGGAACGTTGCGCCACCTTCTCGCTGTATTTTGAGCCTAGAATGACGGAGCAGTGTGCCGCCCGGCTCCTGCGGGCCACAGAGTACGTCACTGGCGGCTGGCGTTGACTGGTGGATATTTGTGGCGAGGTGTCAGTGAAGTTGGCCGGATATAGACTGCGTGACGAGTTCATGCTCATTGATTGGTTCGCATCAGGCGATAGGGTCATTCAGAATGTCTGACATGATTTTCGCAATGCGGGCAGGTCGAATCGTCCATCATTGACTCGCACTGTTCCGTTCATTGTTCCCCGTATGCCGCAGAACAGTGTAACAATCGGAAGCGGCCGCCAATGCCGGCCGATGTATGATTGTAGCGACATCGACTGACCGGCCCCTCGCCGCCGCGTGTCGGTTATACCGTGTGCGTGCCGCGGCGTGTGTGCCCGAGCTGCCATCGCGTGATGGAGTCGCCCGATTAATGTGTGTGGGAGTCAGTACAGGCGGCCGACGAGCGGGTGCGGAGGGCGGGTCCGTCGGTCAGCCGCAGACCAATCGGTCACTGATGGAGCGGCCGCTGAACGGTGACAGACGGCACGCGTCTTATGACGGGTCTGGAGATGGATTATCAAGCTATGATGCTTCTTATTTTGGCTGTGCCAATAGACCCACTCAGTAGAATAATCTCTTATGCGATAATAACGCACTGTTTACCCGCCGTCAGGTATCAACGGCAGCTTCCTGGTGCGAGACAGCGAGTCGAGTCCGGGACAGCTGAGCATCTCACTGCGCTACGAGGGCCGCGTCTACCACTACCGCATCACCGAGGACGGCAACGGCAAGCTGTACGTCACGTCCGAGAGCCGGTTCAACACCCTGGCCGAGCTGGCGCACCACCACTCGTCGCACGCCGACGGCCTCATCACCTGCCTGCTCTACCCGGCGCCCAAGCGCAACAAGCCGCCCGTGTTCGCCGTCAGTCCAGGTAGGCTGTGTGGGAGGCTTGAGGGCCTGAGGGTTGGTGGTGAGGGGAAGGTAGACTGAATGTAGGTAGGCGGTAGTCGAATTCCTGGAACGCTGCGACAAACAGCTTCAGCTTCTGCTTAAGGTGCTTTTTGTTTGTTAACCGATGCTTTTGGGGCTTTGGTTTGAAGTGAGGTTTCAAACGGTCAAGGAGAGGTTACGTAAGATTCGGGAAGCTGGATGTCTTCCCGGCATTTCCTGTGCTTCGGAGAACAGCAGTTGTGAACATCCGCCGCCCGAATCCAGCGGCTTGTGTGACTCACGCGGTGTTTCATCTCCCCGATCTGGCCTCATCCCTGGTTCGTCCGCACTACTCGAGTCAGTCTCTCCTCTGATAGTCCTTTGATCTGCCGTTCTCGTCTGTGTCTATTTGTCTGTCTGTCCGGCTGTAGAGGGGAGGGGAGGGATGCGCTTCGGCGTGTGGTAATGGGAGGTGGTAGATTTGTGATGTCGAAGCTATTTGGGAAACACGTCCTTTAACTGGTCCTTGTCTACACTCCGTTCGACTACTGTCAGTCTCTGTTTATCAGCTTGTCATGTCTTTGCAAGTCTACCTCTGTCTCAGTCTCTCTCAGTCTCTGTCTGCCTCAGTCTCTCTGTCTCAGCCTCTCTGTCTCACCCTCTCTGTCTCAGTCTCTCTGCCTCAGTCTCTCTGTCTCAGTCTCTCTGTCTCAGTCTCTCTGTCTCAGTCTCTCTGTCTCAGTCTCTCTGTCTCAGTCTCTCTGTCTCAGTCTCTCTGTCTCAGTCTTTTTGTCTCTGTCTGTGAGTGCCGCCTCGTTTCGCTAGGTGTCCGTTTCTGTCTTTGTATGTGTGTCTCTCTGTCAGTGCCGCCCTGTTTCGGTAGGTGTCCGCCAGCGGAAGGGTCTCTGATGTCTCTGTCTGTCTGTCTCTATCTCTGTCTGTCTCCGTCTGTCAGTGCCGCCCTGTTTCGGTAGGTGTCCGCCAGCGGAAGTGTCTCTGATGTCTCTGTCTATCTCTATCTCTGTCTGTCTTTGTCTGTCAGTGCCGCCCTGTTTCGGTAGGTGTCAGCCAGCGGAAGGGTCTCTGATGTCTCTGTCTGTCTATCTCTATCTCTGTCTGTGTCTGTCTGTCAGTGCCGCCCTGTTTCGGTAGGTGTCCGCCAGCGGAAGGGCCTCTGATGTCTCTGTCTGTCTATCTCTATCTCTGTCTGTGTCTGTCTGTCAGTGCCGCCCTGTTTCGGTAGGTGTCCCCCAGCGGAAGGGTCTCTGATGTCTCTGTCTGTCTATCTCTATCTCTGTCTGTCTCTGTCTGTCAGTGCCGCCCTGTTTCGGTAGATGCCGTCTCTGTCTGTCTATCTCTGTCTTTGTCTGTCAGTGCCGCCCTGTTTCGGTAGGTGTCCGCCAGCGGAAGGCGGAGCGGAAACCTCCGCGCGCCACGCTGCGGGCCTTGTTTATGAACGGTTCTCTGCCCTGCCGATCGAGTAGGTGTGAGCGCTGCCGACCGCTGTCCGGCCCGTGTGCCTATTGACTAACCAGGGACTGCCGTCTGCCTGTGAATGCGCCGGCAGCGGGCTAGTTTAGTGGGCGTGCTGTGTGCCGTGCCGGGAGATGTGACCTAACCGAACGGTGCTGCATGGCCGAGTCGAGTGTAGTCGTGTGCGGTGTGGCTAGGCGCAGCCCGTGGGAGGCTGGCGGAGCTGCTGGGACCGCTCCCGGCCGCCGAGACTGCCGGGCTGTGGACTGACCGCGGCTGACAGAGGGATGAGCGCGGGATGGCGGACTAGCTACTGGCTGGTCTGTGCGAGACGGACTGCTGGTCTGATCCGTGCCTAGTCGGTGCGGGACGGACTGCTAGTGTTGTTCTGCTCCGTGCCTAATCTGTGCTGGACCGGCCGGACTGGCTACCTTCTGGTCTCCACTGAACGGCTGGACTACAGCTACTCAGGCTGACCGCTCGGTCTGGTTCGTTGGTGTGGCTGGCTACAGCTGGCTGACGCCGGGCGGCTTTGAATGGCCGCTGGCTGACCGCTGGCTGGCTGGTGCTCGGCTGAATGCGGCTGGCCTGTGCTCGGCTGGCTGATACGTTACACAGCTCCAGTCAACAGACATTGCTGTGGTCTCATTCATCCATGTAACGCCAGGCTACAATGTGTCCGGCGCTCTATCATGCACATGTGTCTTATCTCTGTGTACCGTCATTTACCATTTCATCTCATCTCTCCTCTATGTTCTATCCGAACCCACCTTTCTGCGATGTCGCTAACCGTCTCCTGCCCGCCACCTCCAACAGAGACGGATAAGTGGGAGATAGAGCGTACCGACATCACCATGCGACATAAGCTGGGCGGTGGCCAGTACGGAGACGTGTACGAGGCTGTGTGGAAGCGCGGGGGACGCCAGGCCATCACCGTGGCCGTCAAAACGCTCAAGGTATGTGCGACGGCGCGGCGGGTGTTTGTGCTTTCTGTCATACTGCGGCGAAGGGCTGTGTGATGACTGTTGAGATAGATTAGTGTATGCGATGTGGCTAGGGTCTGTGTTTTGTGTATTTCAGCTGGATAGTTTGAGCTATAGTTCATGGTAGATCGACCATACATAGAACCTGCTGTCATTTTGAATACGATTCAATCATGCGTTTTGTCTCCTACCTCGTGATTGTGTCCGTCTCTCCGTGCCCGCGTCATTAACGCTAGCTCCACTGTGTGACTATTCTCCGCTGTTTCTGCCTCCCCAGGAGGACACAATGCAGTTAGACGACTTTCTGGAGGAGGCCGCGATCATGAAGGAGATGAAACACCCCAATCTAGTCCGACTTCTCGGTACGTGCCGTGCACGCTCCAGGAGTTTTAATCGGCCCTCAAATTGCGCAGCCGACCGGCCCGTTAGCGGCCGGATGTGGAGGGGCGGGCCCTGGGTTAGGGGCTGTTCATGAGGATGGGACGTGCCGGAGAGGTTTGGCCGTCCATATTCTCCTGGTGCCATCATTTGGTCGTCAGATTCAATTGAGCACGATGCAGCTCGGATAGACGTGACGTCAATTCGACGGTGACTTGCCGGTTGGGCTGTCTGCTGAGGTATTAACCAGGCGGTCTGACCTCATTCATTTTACATGGTCTTCAATTGATAATGTTTTCTTATTGCCACGCACTCTAGCTGCTAAATTACAGCATTGTTAAACGCTTATCGTATGTGGTAGCTGTAGGAAACACTCGCTCTCAACGTCCTTTCTGTAGTCTCTCTGTGAGTCTTATGATCGCCGTCTTGCCATTCTCATGATATCCGTCTACTCAATAACGCGTCTCCCCCTCACTATTCCCCCTCCCCCGTCCCCCGACTGACCGCTGCTGTGTCTCCCTTCCTCAGGGGTGTGCACTCGTGAGCCGCCTTTCTACATTGTGACCGAGTTCATGTCGCGCGGTAACCTGCTCGACTTCCTGCGCGCCGCCAACCGTGATGAGGTGGACGCCGTCGTGCTCATGTACATGGCGACCCAGGTGAGAGCGACGCGGGTGGACGGGGAGAGGGTAGCTCTAGGAATCACGAATTAGGGTTGCATGATTTTGTCCAGAGAAACTAGCAGTTGATTCAAGGGGGGACTGTCGTATTTTTCGTCGTGCGATGGCTGTGTGCCTGCTTATGTATTTTTTTTTTCGTTTCTGTTTTTGAGTATACATATTTTGCATGCAAGATCGCAAATGGTTAGGCTGAGGCGCTGGTTTCCGGCTGGCTGCTGCCGCTTTGGCGTGTTTTGGGCCAATAGTCACGGCTGGTGAATCGGTCACGCACCGCTGAAATCGCCGAAACATTAGCGCTGTAACGGTGCTGTGCCGTCTGTCAATGCAGGCCCGGGTAGTCCCTCACCCACCTCACCAGACGTCGCTCCGCGGCCCACACGTGCTGCCGAGAGCCGTGCCATTCGCCGCGCGTGGCTCCCACACGTGTTTGGAGCGGCGCCCGGGAACTGAGGGGTCCGATTACACTGTGATTCGGCTGCCCCGACCCCGGCTGATAAAGGTCGATGACGAGTCTCGATTACCACCGGGCCAAAGCCGTGCCTCTGTTAGCTTTGCACTTCCGCTCGCTGTAATCCGATCGAAGTGGGTCGTCTTTAATGTGCTCACTAATCCAGCACTCCACATTGATCGGACGCTACCGTCCGGAATTCCACCTTATCAACCCTATCTACCATCAATCTTTGCCTTTAACACCTCCCCCCTTGCGCTCACCATCAGATCGCGTGGGCGATGAGTTACCTGGAGAGCCGAAACTTCATTCACCGGGACCTGGCGGCGCGCAACTGTCTGGTGGGCGACAACCAGCTGGTGAAGGTGGCCGACTTCGGGCTGGCGCGTCTGATGAGGGATGATACGTACACGGCGCACGCGGGCGCCAAGTTCCCCATCAAGTGGACCGCTCCCGAAGGACTGGCCTACAACAAGTTCTCCACAAAGGTGGGACGATGGGGGTGTGGGGTGGAGGGTCGGGAACGGGAAAGAGATGGTCTTGATAATGAAGAAGACAGGCCACGTTATCACGGTGTGTGATTGCCAGACATTGTATCGCCTTTGTTGCTATTTTCAATCATAACTGCTATTTCTAGCAGCGATGATGGCTATTTCTAGGTCCAATTACCTCTGCTTTGATGTTCTTTTCAATCATCGTTGCTATTTCTACGTTCAGCTGTAAGTGTCCAGTAGGCAGTCAGGCTACGTGCTGATTTCAACATCGCACTCCGTTATTTTGATGTCTGTGGGCCGTCTAACGGTGTGTTTGCGTTTTGCTCCACCAGTCGGACGTCTGGGCGTTCGGTATCCTGCTCTGGGAGATCGCCACCTACGGCATGTCGCCGTACCCGGGTGTCGACCTCACTGACGTCTACCACCTGCTGGAGAAGGACTATAGGTGAGTTATTACTACTGGAGAGAACAGTCTATAGGTGAGTTTATCCATGCCACCTACGGCATAACGCCCTACCCGGGTGTCTACCTCACCGACGTCTACCACCTGCTGGAGAAGGACTATAGATGAGTGTGTACCACCTGGGGAGGACTATAGGGGAGTTAGTAACACCTAAACGAAGTTAGAAGTTAGAACTAACTCACCTTAAGCACTTGGTACTAAAAGTGATTTAGTAACACCTGTTCGCAAAGAACTGCACGTAAGAATGCAACGCGACACCTTGTTGCGCTTTTTCATTGGTTGGTGGTTGGTTGAATGAGCACTTTGGAATGGCTGGTATACGCTGACCAAGCGTGTGATTACCTGTAAATAGCATCCTCTTTATGGATTTATACAGTAAGCGCATGTATATCCTGATCATTTACAAGGGGTGCATTCCAAGACTGACATAAAAAAATGAAAACATTATCGCACATAGACTAACCTCCCTGACATATATTTTTAATTTTCATACGTGGTGCATGCGTTACTGATAAGTAGTTACCGTACTCTGAAATAATTCATATGTGTCTTATTTGGTCCATGTTTATCCAACTCTCTTGCGTCCGTCGTGGTACTAGCAGTGACTGTCCTCCATGTCCCTCGGGATGGAGTGTCCACTGTCCGCCCCATGTTCAGGGGTGGATATCTGTCAAAATTTCAGGGGGGTCCAGGCCGGGCAGATGGAGGCGGGCTGGATAAGCAGTACCATTGACTTACATAGTGTAACGAAATTCATTCCTACCCCGTCCTCCGCCTCCCTCTGTACTTACTGTCCAGCCCCCTTACCCACTAACAATATCCTTATATGGTCCTCGCTCTTCCCCTGTGACGCCTGTCCTGGCCCACTTCTGATTGGTGCTATGATATGACGTACATCTGTATGTATGATGCATGTGTGTGACGTTTGGATGTAGCGGCCGACGCCGACGCCGAGCAGGAGAGATTCGAAAGCCAACCGCCGTAGTGACCGGACGTACTGTTATTCAAAGTCTCGGCCGATTGTCTATCACTTTTGGATTATATTGGTAAACTTACAATACATACTTGAAGAAAAGAAAACCGTGTTGGTTGTACGGCACGAGCAGGAGGTCCTAAAACAGACTATCACAGAAGAAGAAATTGTTTATTTACTATTTATATTTGTTACACATAGCAGTAATTCGTTTTCAGGGGGGTCCTGACCCCCCAACCCCCCCCCCCCCCCCTCCGCCCCGGATCTCCACCTCTGCCCAGTGCCCATGTTACTGCTAATGATGGTTCCCTGGTGTCCCGCAGGATGACGTGTCCGCCGTGCTACTAGGAGTGACGGTTCCCCTTCCCCCCGTATCCCCTAGGATGAAGTGTCCCCCGTGCTACTAGCAGTGACGTTTTCCCCCGTATCCCGCAGGATGGAGTGTCTGCCCGGCTGTCCGTTGTGTCACTAGTAGTGACTGTTCCCCTCCTGTCCCGTAGGATGGAGTGTCCTCCGGGCTGTCCGTCGCGGATTTACGAGCTGATGCGGCAGTGCTGGCGATGGGGACCGGCCGACCGGCCCACCTTCCGCGAGATCCACCATAGCCTGGAGACCATGTTCCAGGAGTCTAGCATCAGGGACGGTGAGTGGCACAGCTCTGGGCAGATTTAGGGACTCATGACAGCCTGGAGTCTTTGTTCCAGGAGTCGAGCATCAGGGACGGTGAGTGGCACAGCCCTGGGCAGTTTAGGGACTTACCATAGCCTAGAGACCATGTTCCAGGAGTTTAGCATCAGGGACGGTGAGTGGCACAGCTCTGGGTAGTTTCAGGGACTTACCACAACATAGAGACAATGTTCCAGGAGTCGAGCATCAGGGACGGTGAGTGGCACAGCTCTGGGTAGTTTCAGGGACTTACCACAACATAGAGACAATGTTCCAGGAGTCTAGCATCAGGGACGGTGAGTGGCACAGCGCTCGGTAGATTTAGGGACTTACCACAGCCTTGTTCCAGGAGTCGAACTTCAGGGACGGTCAGTACTAAGTTTAGTCAGTACTTAGGGTAGAGGGAGGGTTCTCGTGCGCCATTGTGATATTTTCCCAGTCAGATTTACGGACAAGCCTGTGCGCGGTCTGGCGTGAAGATTATTACACACGTATGTGCCTTGGAAACACATTGTCATTTAACATTTTTACACTGCCCATGCTTTTATGAGGTTGTAAGATAGGTAAGGTTGGCCTCGATGGCAACCTTCAGTTCATGTCTCTATCTTTTGCGGCTTACCCACCTGCCGTGAATATCTGCCAGCTCTCCCGGCTGCACTGTAGCGTACTGACACACCCTCCCTGTCCATCTCCCTTACAGAGGTGGAGCAGCAGCTGAAGCGGCACGAGGGCCAGCCCTCGGAGCAGGCGCCGCCGCTGCCCCCGCAGCCGGAGCGGAGCCGGGCCAGGGGCGAGCCGCCGCCGCCGCCCCCGGCAGCGCCCATCCCCTCCATCAAATGCACCCGCGAGGACGGCAGGGCCAGTCCCCGGCGAGCAGGTGAGATGTCAGCGGGGGCTGTCATAGTGGGAGGTAGTGACGACGTCAACGAGATGACAAGGGGACCTTATGAGCTTTACATTTAGTGAAATGAAGGGCTGATGGGACTCGTGCTGTTCCATAGATTCGCTAGAAGCAATAGATTTATCCATAGATACAAATGTCGTGAAAATGAAACGTCTGTTGTCACTGGGAAGAAATTATTTGTGAGCCCACTCTTGCGTGTTTTGTTTCTTTTGTATGTTTTAACCTTTACATTTGTCATGTGCTTTAGATTTTGTTGATAAAAAACGTCTGCCCGTAACTAGTTTGTTACCGTACGGCTCTGGTATTAGCAAAGGTGTTAGCGTACGTTATATCTCGCTTGATAAACGTACACATTGGCTGTGTTCTCATGTGCCTTGTGACCGATGATCGTTATAACTCTGCCGTTCGAATTCTGACATTCCATACACACTCGACAGACGACGCACCGCTGGTGGACGCTCAGGCCTCTGGACCCGTGTCGACCAAGTCGACGGTGGTTCAGCTGCGCCGCGCCTCCAACAGAAAGCAGGCGCCTGCGCCGCCCAAGCGTACCAGGTGAGACGCAGACGCGGCACAGTGGCGTCAGAGGGTGGTGGTCAGGCCGGGAAGGGGCGGTCGACTTTGATGTTATTCAGCTGGATGCAGTATAGAATTATATGAATGCATCGATGATGCTTTTGTTATTTGGAGCGTCGCAGTTTAATTATGAGGAATATATTAACTTTTGTCTCATGTGAAGTAAAATGTCACGCGTCTATAACGATGCAGCAGTGACGGTGTGCACCCCAGTTCTGACCGTCACCTGTCGTCTGGTACACCCCACAGCTCTGAGCGTTTACCCGCTTCTCCCATGTGTACCCCAGCTCTAACCATCCCTCCGCCCCGTCCCCTGTGCACGCCACAGCTCGTTCCGGGACAGCTCGTACACGGAGGAGGTGGCCGAGGACTCTGAGGGCGGCGCCGGCGGCTCGGAGCCCTCCGACCCGGCCGACGAGCGCACTCCGGAGACGGAGGAGTCGGCGCGCTCCTCGCGCTCCACGCCCTCGCACATGGCGTCGGGCCGCCACCCGCCCGCCGCCGACCGCGCCAAACGTGCCAAAACGTTCCCGTCGCCGGCGCAGCCGCCGCGCAAACCGATCCAGGTAGCGCCGCTGGAGGAGCACCACGTCAACGAGTCCATCAAGCGGTACGGCACGCTGCCCAAGGGCGCGCGCATCGGCGCCTTTCTGGACTCGTTGCGCGAGAGCGGTATGCGTGGCAGTGCGGAGGGTGGTGAGGCGGCCGCCGGGGCGGGAGGCGAGGCTCGCGCGCCGCGCAGTCACACTGAGGCGGAGGGCGTGCGGCCGCCGGCCTCCGCCGCCGCCGCCAAGAAACCGTCTGCTATGGTGCGCTCCAACTCATCCAATAGTGGCTTCCAGAGTCCGCGGCTGTCGCGGCTCAGTCCGAGGGTGTTTGCCGGCGCGGCGGGCGGCGGTGGTGGTAATGGCGGGGGCGGTGCGGAGTCGGCGACCGACCGGCGCCGGCCGTCCCCGCGCCAGAAACGGAAACCGGCCGAGCTGGAGTTTCCGCCGCCGCCGACGGAGCTGCCGCCGCCGGACGACATCGAGGCCGACTTCATCATCGACCCGACGTTCCCGCCGCCGCCGCCGGACCTCAAGGACCAGCTGTCGACCGGCGGCCCTGTGATGCAGAGCTTCAGTCAGCCGCCGGCTGGCCGCGGCAGGCCGGTGCCCAGTCCTCGCACTCAGCGCCGCGCAGAGTACTCAAACCTCTCCGAGCGCGCCAAGCGCAGTGACGACCTGGTGACGCGACTGGGGACCGGGCAGCGCGCGCGGCCGCAGCCGCCGGCGGCGCCCAAACCGGCGTCCCTCACCCCGTCCATCAGTGCTCAGCTGGTCTCTGAGATCCAGCAGAAGCAGCGTGAGAACGGTGCCGAGGGCGAGCCTCCCGCGGCGGCGGCGGCCGGCTCACAGCGCTCCGACTGGGCCCGCTCCGAGGCCAAGCTGCAGTCGTTCCGGCCGCCTCTGAGACGCGTCCACAAGTCAACCGAGGGCTCGCAGACGGACGAGGCCGTCACCAGCTTCAAGTCGGCGCTTCGGAAAACGACCGGTCGCACCTCGGAGCGGAACGGTGACGCCGCGTCTCGGCCAGCCGACGGCACAGCGAGTCTGCGGTTTGGACTGCGGAAAACGCGAAATAAAGACCGCTCTGCGGAGACGGCGCCGAAGGCGGAGCCGGAGCAGACCGACTTCCGGGCGCTGCTCAAAAAGCCGGACAAGAACGGCGTTCGGACGGAGGAGGGTGAGCCGCAGCCGTCCGACCCGGCCCGGCCCGAGAAGCCCTCTGAGCGGGTGGAGCGGTGGCTGGAGCAGGCGGGCTCGGCTACTGCCGCCGCCTCTACCGCTGCTGAGGGTGATGGGGATGGGGAGGGGGAGGAGGCGGAGCCCGAGCCTCCAGAGGCCGAGCCGGAGGAGCCATCTGCCGAGGAGCCGCCGGTGGAGGCACCGGCCGAGGTCACTGACCCGCCGGAACAGGCGTCCCCCGACGACGAGCAGGACAAACGGCAGAGTGCCGGCAGCATCAGCAGCCTGCGGAAAATGTGGGAGGCCGAGGCCGCTGACAAAACCTCGCCGAAACTGTCCGACCGCTCGCCGACGTCGGAGCGAGCCTCGACGGCGCCGGCCACCAAGGAGGAGTCTCCTCCCCCTCCCCCTGCCCCGCAGTCTAGTCTGGAGCCGGCCGGCGAGGCGGCGCCGCCGTCGGCCGCCCCGGCGCCCGCTGAGAGTGGCGTGGAGAGTGTGCGTGCCAAGTTCGAGCGGCGCTGGCCGCCGACGCAGGAGACAGACAAGCCGGTGGTGCCGGTGAAGCCGTCCATCAAGCCGCTGACGGCGGCCGGCCGCGCGCCCGCCGGCGGCCCGGGCGTGTACGCCACGCCGTGCATTACCTCTGCCGAGCGCGGCACGCTCAAACCGCCGCCGCACCCGACCAGCGCGCCGCCGGCCGGCCTCAGCCGCTCGGCCGGCGCCGGCGGCTCGGCGGAGGCCGTGCGCGACCTGGCCGCCGCCGTGGAGCGCAGCCTGGGCGCCCTGGAGGCCTCGTCCGCCTCCAGTGTGGCGTGCATGCAGCTGTCGGACAAGCTGGGCCTGCTGCTGACGGCGTGCGGCGCGCACGCGGACCAGGTGCCGCCCACCGGTCGGCTCCGGTTCCGTGACCTGCAGCGGCGCCTCGAGACGCACGCCGGCACCCTGCGCTCGGCCGGCGCGCGCAACAGCAGCGACGCCCAGCGGCTCTTCTCCGAACTAGCCAACACGGTGCGCGACGTGGTCAATGTGGTGCAGCGATGAGCGGCCGGCGACTGCGCCGCCACGCGCCGCCCGCGCCCTTTGTTTTTTGTGATATCCATTTTATTGCGTTGTCGGTGGCTCTTCTGCGCTTTAGTGGGACCAGTGTGTGCGCGCGGCCCCGGGCCGCCCGGTTGTGACATTCCTTCCCGTCTCTGTCTCGTTTTTTTATTCAGCAATCGAATGAGTTTTCATGCGTACCCTGTGTTTTGCGGATGCGCTCATGATCGAGACGACTGCAATCGTGTGAGAGCATGACTAGTAAGGAAATGTCTTATGCGCGAGTGTCTCCCGCCATTCTGCGCGGGCGCCATGCCAAATTATCCGGTGTCCGGCCGGCCTCGTGCGTCGGGACCGGCAGTGTGAGTGCGAAGAGGAGCCATGACCGGGGGCGGCGCCCGACCTTGCCATGTGGGACCGGCGGCGCGGCGGCCGGCCCCGACCGGCGTGTAATACTCAGTGCGAGCGCGCGCGCGCCGCCGCCTGCCGAGTTTCAGTTCCTGGTCGGACGCCGGCGGCCGGTGCCGGTCGCGTCAGTGAGTCGGTTTCAGTGACCAGCGGGGTGATATGGCCGCTCTGGCTCGGCCCAGGCCCCGTTTTGTATACCATGTATAGTTTATATCTCAAAGACAATACACGTAATTCTGACAGGAAGCTACGATCAGTATCTTCTTGTTGGAGGTGATGCATCTGTGTTTTATCTTGTAAGTGTATGTGACATGCTTTTATGCGGCGCCCACTGAGCCCATCGTGCAAGTGAGGAAAAGGAATGCGAGCCTTTGAACAGGAGTTTCGCTTAAGGAGTTAGACGAGAAAAACGCGAGAGCAACTAACGGTAAAGGCGTTCGCTACATCATGATCCGCGCAGCAAGGGTGATGACTTAAAGGAAACAGTTCACTTTCCTGAAATTAGTATTTTGCTATGAATTTACGATTCTTTATGCTCAATATGATCAGAAAATAAAATAAAACCTTGTTGTAAAAACAATTATTTTCTATATTTTAATATAGGACGAACTATATTCTATGTAAAATAATGTTTGACGCGGAAGCTTATTACGCGTTGACCAATCATATTGCGTAGTTCAAACCTACGCATGCTGCATTAGCTGTAAGCAGCATGCTGATTGGCTGACGATGACGTGGCTGCATTCCTGTGCAAGGCACACATTCCTCTGCAAGGCACTCTTTTCGGAACGAGAAATGGAATATCTTCGTCTAGGGTGATCGTTGAGCCGTAAAAGCTCCTGATTTGTGCTAGTCTCAGCTCAAGCTACGAAACTGCTATTCCAGTTCAAAGTCCCATGTTAAAAGTGAACTATTTCCTACATACAGGTTACATACATACATACATACATACAGGTTACATACATACAGGTTATTGCCTCGGCATGCCGTTTGCGGTTTGGTACAGCTATTAGCGCTGTTTGATGCTTCTGTTTGCGTCTTGTGTGCGTCTAATGCCGCTACAGAATATTTCTACATGCGCCGTTATTCAAAGCAGACGGGATGAGATATGGGTGGTGGCCGGTAGGATGGTAGGATATGATAGGAGAAAAGAATGGGGTCAACGCCTCTTACATTCAGTGGCTTTGGAGGCTTCGATCAAGGGCTATATGACTGCTCTAGAAGCCCGTTGACCCAGATCTTTTATTCTTACCACGGCATAGGCATCCATCGTCATGCTGGTTGTAATTTTTCATTTTTTATAAAAAGCTGCTGCTCTAAATTCCGGTCTTTCTGCTGTCGACAGTATTGGTATTTGTGCGACAATAATTTGCTAAGGAACAGAGTCCTACCATAAAGTTTGGTGGTTCTTTGTACCTGTGACGTCAGCAAATACTTTACTTTTAAACCTTTTTTCACTATTTCCCACCAGAAAATGTGAGTAATTTGGCTTGAGTTTCCTCAGACTTGTACATTACACACAAAAGCTATCAACTATGACTTGCTATGCCAGTTGATACAATCGTTTTGTTTGGCTTGAGAGAAACAAGGTCAGCCATTGGTCTGAACTTTGATGACATCATCAGTTGATCTTTGGAACTCGTTGCACAGTTTACACAATTTACTCGATGGGCTTTCCAGTTTATTTTGAGCTGTCCGCGTTGTGGGTTCGTCCTGTGCACCGGATGTGGCGATTTTTTGCATATTATCATATTCAACATCTTTGTTTTCGACTATTTATTGGTGTCATTCAGCCCTCTCACTCTGGTGTCTTCTTTTGTGTTACAGAATACGGCACGGAAGTAAGCATTTGGAGCTGCTGCTGCCGCGAAGTGCACCTGACGGTCCTTACTGTTCTGGGCTCATTTTTAACAGGCAGATAAATATCAATTATGTCTCTCTACAGCACACTTCGCTATTCACTGATTAGCTCGAAAGTGAGTATTTCCATTTTGATTACCTGGCTTATTAACCTATTGTCAGAGGCGGATCCAGCTCAGAGTTTTTTTTTGGGGGGGGGGGGCAAACCATATTAATTTATCGATTCTTTCCATGCATTGTTCTTAGGCGTAATGTTAAAATCTTGCCGTTTGGGGGGCAAATGCCCATTTTGCTCCCTGGATCCGCCACTGCCTATTGTGATTGAATAATGAATTTAATTGCACGATTGATCTGTGCGTGTCACGTGTAACGTAAGCCCAAAAGCTAAAATATTTGATATATAATTAAAAGATTGACTTTATGCCAAAGATCTAGAAATCTGTAAAAATGAAAAAATTCCTGCATGAAATGCATTGGGTAGCTTTAAGCCTCTGCCCAAGGGGCTTTTGTGCTGCCCAGCTCTGAGCTTACAACTGATGGCCCTTGATTCATGCAGATTAAAATGTTTTAGAAGTGGAGAGATAAAAGTTAAAGCATACCTGGGCTTTGATTAAAGTCAAATTGAGGGACACTAACCACATAATCAGGTCATGTCATTCGCTAACCTATTCTGTCAAACAGTCTAGTAAAATTCTCTGTATGGTCCGAAATTGTCACAACTTTGCAATGCCAGCAGTGCAAAAGAATCTTTGTCAAGGATATAAAACTTACAGGAAGCAATTGGCATTGTATATTTTTGCCATAGATAGCTGTGCAAGATTTCCAAGCTAGATTGACAATAGACAAGGACAGCTGAAGATAAATTATTCAGAATCTTTTCTAATGATCAACAATGAATCCCCATCAGTATTGATGTGTCCTGTCTGTCTCCAGGTGGGCGGACTGTGCGGCCCGGCGGCTGCCCGGCTCGCCTCCTCCTGGACGGGCCGCGAGGAGCTGAAGGATGACGACCCGGAGATGTGGAGCCTACTGCAGGAGGAGAAGGACCGCCAGGTGCACGGACTCGAGCTCATCGCCTCTGAGGTGGGTCCTGAGCAGCAGGAATGAACCCAAGGAGGTGGCATGCTGTCTGGTTTTGGACGCAGTAGCGTGCACGAAACAGTACGGATGGGCAATGACATTTTGTCTGGGTTGCTATGATCATGATTATGATTAGGTATGGTATGGTGTGGTATTGTGATAACCGTAATTGTGATAATAATGATCGTAACAACGGTGAATGGGATACCGGTGATTGTACCGAAAATGACAATCGTCATAAAGCAACAGTGACTTTTGCTAAAGGAGTGCCATCCCTACGTGGGAATAACTGTCAGTTTTGAACGGCGTCTGATGGCAAATAGCTATTGCCGAGTTCATGAGGTTCCAGCCCAGTTAAACTATGCTTTACCATAAAGCTGGCCTAGATAGGATCGGTATGTCATTGTCAACGATTCTAATTCTATCAACGCACATTTATGTTAGCTTTTATTTATGAAGTTAATATAACATTCAATATATGTCACATTGAATCGCGCCCGTTACACGATGCCCAGTCGCACTGACGTCGTGCGCACTGAAAAAAGTCTGGGAAGGTATCTACCTGGTGATGTCATGTTTACTACTCATTTGATTTTTTTCTGTAGCCGACAACGGGCTAAGTCAAAATATTCGATAGCTTATTGCGAAGCTAAGATACGATGCCAGTGGTTTAGTATCGCCATTATAACGGAAGGCGTTGCTTGTAACGTCCGCTCGCGACGGCCGCTTTCCGTTGGCTCCCCGCCGTAGTGACCTGGTTACTCGGGCTGTTACCATGTTTATGTAACGGTCCATGACTGCCAGTGCCGACATAAGTCAAGGTCAAATGTACAATGGGTCAGTGATAGCTAACAGACGCAGAACTAATTGACTGGAGCTGAAAGGTTTGGCGGGCAGAAATCAGGTCAAATCGTGTCAGCAGAGGTCGATGTGCAAGCCTGCTTTGAGTTCTGGATCCTCAATCAATTGCGACGCGTTGTGGTGTGATTACTGATTAGGTTTTAGGCTGCGCTTTCTTGACATGGCTAGAATTTGGCATCTACGCCGAACATAGTTAACTCGGGTTGTTTGAACTATTTACCGCGGTATGTCCACGATGACATGCTGCATACAGCAGCTGGTCGAGTCAGTGTCATAAAGGAACCCTCCCACCTTAACATTAGATTTGAGTTGAGATAGCCAAAATGGGGTCCCTGGCTCACAATTACCGGTTTCGGCACTCACAACATCGAGAAATGCCTTAAATCGGAAATATTGAATTTCAAAATTGCAGCATTTTGATTCAGAGGGGCTAATGCATAGGAATACCCCTCTGAATGTGTGACGTCAGCGCAGATATCTAACGATTTTTAAATGTTTGACTAAAACGTTTTGTAGCACGCGGTGGTATATGCTGCTTTGCGCGCAACAAATGCCGCACTTTCAAATAAAGTCGCTATAGGAACAGCGAAGATCCCAAAAAAATAAACAAAAGTAAAAGTCTAATATCTTGAAAACCGGTGAATATTTTTCGATGAAATTTGGTAGATATTTGTTTTTGCTCTTTCTGAACCGAGCGACATCACTTTCATGCCAATTCATTAACTTTTTTGAAGGTGGGAGGGTCCCTTTAATTGCCTCACACTCGGCAGAGTGGCCGTTCATTTTCTCTGTTTAGTTTCTGCCTGTCCGCTGCGGGGCCAGAGCTCTCAGGCGCCCACCCTATTGCTGCGCTCCAGTCGCCCGCCACAGACCTACACGCGCTCGCGAGTCGACCTCAGTCGCCCGGCGAAAAAAAATGAAAACTAGCCGCACGCTGGTCGGCAGACCGGTTTCGTCCAAACTTATCCGGTTTGTCATGCGGTTATAACCGGATCGTTCCGGTTCTAGCTATGGGTCGGCGTTGCTTGACGTCAGAATCAGTGACGGTGGCGGCTGGGCGGTGGCTTACCTCGAGGTCACTCGGTCCGGTCACCTTTAACACGCGCAGTGGAAGGGGGGGCGGATTTCGCCCACCCCTCCTGTTTTTCGCCGATAACTCGCGCCGCAAACATGATATTAATGTGAAATTTTGGCTACCTGTCCAGAATTGAACTGCGGATCTTCTCGTGCAAGAAATAAAAAAATCGGGTCACAACTTTTCTAGTAATAGCGGTGTAAAGTCAAACATCCTGCCGCCGCGGCGGCGCGGCGGCCGGCGCTAGCCGTTACGCGCCGCCTGAATTGTAGACTGTGCCGGGGCGGGACGGTTCCGTCTTTACATCGCGCTCCTTACCGCTGATTATATTCGATTCGCGTCAAATTTTGTGAGAAGACTAAGAAATGTACAGGCAATCTTATGGTCAAAGAATTTTGAAAATCGGCCGGTAACAACTTGAGTTATGAGTGTGTAAACACAAAATTGTGATTGCCGCGTTTCCCGCGTCCGCCGATCCCGCCTCAGCCGGCGACATCTTACGCTTAGCAGGCTTCTAACTGCCATATTTATTGTTGGATTAACAAGAAATTCACCATTCATACTTACAAATGTATGTTCTTTCGTATAGTGAAAGAAAAAAGAAAATCGGCCGGTAACTTTTTGAGTTATCGGCGTGTAAACGCAAAAAAGTCGCTAATATGGCAGATTTGACCACTTTTGACCTCATTTGACCTTGAAGATATTGACCTAGGGTCATGAAATTCACACACAACAGAGTTCCCCTGGGCCCCCACCTACCCTCCAAATTTCGTCTTCCTAGCTCCAGTGGGAGCTGAGATCTTAGGGGGGGCGACATCCGCCCCCCCCCCCTTCCACTGGGCGTAGTACTCGCAACCCTTCCACTGCGCGTGTTAAAGGAAGGGTGCCACCTTTTGGACACAACGCAGTTTTTACAAGATTAGCCTCACATGAAACTAAAAACCGGCTTCACTTACCTATGCTCGAGACGGTCAGCATTGAATCCGCACGTGAAGTTATCATTTGCGAGTTTTGCTGCCAGCATTCGGGCAGGCAAAAATCTTCAGCACTATTTCCTCGTCGTGTTAAGGGTATTTTATAAAACATGAAATCAGCAAAGGTATGTATAAAAGTTATACTTTTGAAGCATGTTTTATCATTTTGAAAGGGTATATTTTTCCTTTATGGTATACACTTAAGTTTTAAAATTTTAATTGGGAAGTTTTTCTAGTAAGTTGCATGAAGGGTGAAGGGTTCCATAGATCTCTTAAGCATTGTAAAGGAAAAACCTTTACTCGACTTATTTGATGTTCTTTAACTGTTGGCAAATATGGCCAACAGTTACCTACTTGGTTACCTACAACTTAGTTCAAATCATGATATCTTCTTCCTTTTTATTTGTTCATCTTTTTGTCTCAGTTGCGCCATCAATGCAAATGGCAGAATGATATGTTGCCATGACAACAGGATATGCCAGCCGTCCTAGCTGCCACATCAAACGACCTTGAGTTGTAGTGGTGATATAAACAACGATCTTTTTTTTGGCCAATGTATTAAATGCAATGTTTCGGTTTTTTGTATATTGTGGACGCGCTAACCACGTCTAAAAATTCAAATAAGTAAAATAGATTCATAGAACAAAAATTTCGGAAGGTGGCACCCTTCCTTTAATGGGACGTCATGATTTTTTTTTTCAAACTACCAACCTCGTTGCTTGTAGGTCGACAAACATATTCATTGCTCAGGGGCTTGGGCAGTGGGTACGATGTGCTCAACATTCGAGTTCCGTTGCTTTGCTTTGCATGGTTTACGGGACACGATCTGATGTCTCCTTTGCATTTGTTGCCAGGGGTGTTGGACATCCATAAATGGTGTAGTTGCACCTCCGATATGCAGGTGTTTCGGACATGCATGCTGCGTGACCAGACTGATATCCCAACAGCGAGCATTCACCGTTGGACAGACACGCCGCCTTCCGAAAGCGGTCGAGCAGCGTCGTGACTGCAGATGGCTGCCAGCAAGACGCTATGTTAGTTGCCATGCAAACCCGCAACAACCACGTGTTGCATAACCGAAGCTTATATGGTCATAGGGTTATTCGGCGAAATGTGGCATTTGATGTCAGATTGCTGACAAAGGCAAGAGTTTTAAATTTTAGCGGCGAGCCGAGTGGTTGTCATGTTATTTGCTTACAGTGATTAGATCAACTAGGAGTTGTGTGATTATCAAATTATCAAGAACGAAACACGATCAATTATCAAGCTTTTATCGTAGACCTCATGAACGTGATGCTTAGACTTGAAATGATGTTGTGATGTGTCATTTCCTCGTGTCTAATAAGGCCTTCAGTCTAGGCATTAGGCACCGTTGGGTAATTGCCTGTTTGTTGTGTATTTGAGTGCGTTTACCGCCGCTCGGGGTTCGGCGACCGGCGCGTTGTGCCGGTGCGGGCGGAGTTGGCGGCCGGCCAGCCACCCCAGCCGTTCGCGCCGGTCGGCTCTGGGCCGAGCCCCCAGCCATGGGGTCCGGCAACCGCCGCCAGCGCCGGGCCGCGTGCCGCCGCCGACCGGCCCGGCGGGTTGGCCTGGCGCGGCGCCAACGCTGCAGGGCGGGCCCGCTGCACCGGCAGACGGTGACGCAATGGAGCCGGCAGTTGTCTTCACTTTCCATGTGCTGGGGACTGGCGCAAGGGTAATTCATAGAATCAGGCTAATGGCAAATATGAAAACTGTTCTGATAATTATGCAAGCATTAAAATGGACTTCCTATACTTGATGCTCATTTAAGTAAAAATGAGTTATCTTCCATGCCAATGTGACGGTCACCAGACACCAGGCACGATTTAGGGGGCACGATCGTCGAAGAAAAAACAACCGTGTCTGTCCCCATCAAAATCTTAAGCAAGATGTAGCCTGTAGGGAGGCTAGCTCTGTCTGGAGCCCCGCTCATTTGACGATGTGTAGCCGGGAGTCCCTTTGCTAACAGTCGCATGCCTCCTGTGTGCGTGTTTCAGAACTTTGTCAGCCGCGCCGTCCTGGAGACGATGGGCTCCTGCCTCCACAACAAATACTCGGAGGGCTACCCGGGACAGAGGTGAGTGTGTTACAACAAATACTCGAAGGGCTACCCGGGACAGAGCCCAGAGGTGAGGGTTACCCTGGACAGAGGTGAGTGCACCGCAGCACATACTCGGAGGGCTACCCGGGACAGAGGTGAGTGTTCCGCTCCCTCAGGCGTCAGACACGGCTGCTGGACGGGCGCAAATGGAGTTTGGCCCGGAATGATACAAAACACATTGAATGTAGATAGCGGACTGCATTGTCACGGTTGCATACCGAAGAACGCGGCGTGGCTGTTGGGGCGACTCTGACTGATCCTGGCGTATCCTCGGCTACCTCCTCACCCCCCCCCCCTTCCCCTGCGCTATTTTCCCCGATCACAGTTCACGGTTCGTCGGAAGGTCATCTCAGGCTCAAAAGAAACGATTTATACCATTCGAAAGCTGACGATACGCTGAATCCGAAAGTGTAATTTTTATCAAAATCTATCGATGGCCTTTTTTGAAAATTGCGTTTTTGTAAAAACTTAATAATTTTTTATTCAACGGGCTGTCCCAGACATTCTTGAAAATATAAACATGTATTTTTGAGTTCCAGTGAAAGCTGAATGCCAAAAGAACAATATCTAGCGGAGCAATATTTCCAAACATTAATATGCGTCTCCCATAGTCGACAATAAGGCGCAATTACACAGCTCAGTGTCACGATGGACCAAAGCGGCAGCCACACAGAAGCGTGAAATGACCCTTATCGACTCGCAGACCAGGCGCTCTCGGCCCGCCTGACCGGCCACGGAAAGAACGTTCGGCTCTCGTTCTACTAAACAAATGTCATATTTGTCAGTTTAACTGTCCTCATCGCTATTAAAGTTATTCAGGATACTTGTGAAGAAAATTCATTGCCCTGTCACCTTCACATCATGCATTAATTTACATTTGTTCATGTCCACTTTGCTCAATTGAGCTTGGTATCATGCCCATATAAGGAAAATTGGCCGCGCTGAAATGTCAGAGGTTGCACCGGCCTCAGCTCCGGTGGAGTGGGGGTAGCGCCCGGTAGGGCAGGGTAACCTTTGACCGGTCGCACGGCCGAGCAGCTGTCACCAGTACAGCCTCTGACAGTGAAACCCCGCTCACTTCCCCTGCGCGGGCACTTAGCGCAGCTGGATGGAACAAAACATGTATAAGAAAAATGTAAATTGAAGCATGTTTTAAATCAAGCAGAACAATGAATTTTCTTCACAAGTATCCTGAATAACTTTAATAGCGATGTGGACAGTTAAACTGACAAATATGACATTTGTTTAGTAGAACGAGAGCCGAACGTTCTTTCCGTGGCCGGTCAGGCGGGCCGAGAGCGCCGGGTCTGTGAGTCGATAAGGGTCATTTCACGCTTCTGTGTGGCTGACTTTGGTCCATCGTGACACTGAGCTGTGTAATTGCGCCTTATTGTCGGCTGTGGGAGACGCATATTAATGTTAGGAAATATTGCTTCGCTAAATATTGTTCTTTTGGCATTCAGCTTTCACTGGAACTCGAAAAAACATGTTAATTTTTTCAAGAATGTCCGGGACAGCCCGTTGATTAAAAAATTATTAAGTTTTTACAAAAACGCAATTTTCAAAAAAGGCCATCGATCGATTTGGATAAAAATTACATTTTTGGATTCAGCTCACCGTCAGCTTTCGAATGGTGTATACCGTTTCTTTTGAGCCTGAGATGACCTTCCGACGAACCGTGAGTTGTGATCGATAGGTAATAACTCGGCCGGCCTAGCGGAGGCGAGTAGCCAGAGCGATGGCACGGCTCTTATATGAAGTTCGGCTTATTCGACCGCCCATTCGCCACGGAGGCCAACATTGAGCGTTGACGAATGCCTCTCGAGATTTGTTAATCGTCTGAGCAACGGCCGGCGAATGTTCAGTCATTAGATCACGTTAGGATAGAGAGTCTTAGGAGCGAATTCCATGTGATCAGGATCTCCAAGTCGGACCGACCGCTAGCTCGGTGGTTTATACGGCGCTCTTGCCGTCGCATTGGAGCAGAGAGGGTAGACCGTTGGCCTGGTGGGCGTCCGGCCAACGAAAATCCCGCTCTGACGGTACTGGCGTGGCAGCCTCAGGCCTGATGGGGGGGGGGGGGGGGGAGACACGTGCTGTTAGTGGCCCGTAGACAGCGAGCGGGTGTGAATGGGATGTCTCGGAGCTGACAGCTGAACGAGGTCGTCATATGGCGTACGGGATCGTTTCGAGTGTCGCCGGTACAGGCCCGTGAATCCGTGTGATCTGAGTGGGATTTAACCCTCGCATGTGTAGGGGGGGGGGTCGGATGGACCCCCCCCCCATGGTTTTTCGCGAATAACTCGCGTAAAAAGCGGCCAATCGCGACGAAACTTTCAGTACCCTCGCATTGATCAATTTTACACCTACCCTGAAAATTTCATGACCCTGACCCAAATGACCTTTGACCTGTGACCTCTTTTCCGAGACCATGTTTGGCCGTAATCGCGATTTCGCGTATGTCGGCTCGCACTAGCCGCGTGTTTGCAAGCTTTTCGTGGTTTCAAACGTTCAAACATGTGATTTGATGTTACTCCCGTGTGTGTCAAGGTCACCTGAAGGTCATGTCAAGTCATTGACCTTTGGTGACCTCGGGTGACCTCGGGTCACTTTTTCGAGTTTTACATGTTTCTAGGCTAGTTTTTGGAGCTGAATTCGAATTTAGCAACCATTTGAACATTTACGAAGTAGTTTTGGTGACTTCGTAACATGTTACGAAGCTGTCAGAGGCGGTTGACACGTACTACGAATACCCGTCACGACGCCTACTGGTTGACCTGACCTGACCTGACCCGACCTGGTCTAAATGCTTCAAGACATCATCTGTGATCAAAACTAACACGATATTCGTGATCAGCACCCCGAAAAACCCCTTAGCAGCCACACTTTACGACTTTCTAACAGGTCCCGATTTTCCCGACTTTGGGTCATTGACCTGACCTGGAAGGTCAACCAATGACCTAGGACCTTAAAATTGGGTATCATCCGCTTCCTCTCGTCACGGGCAACACGCTCGTTTTTTCCGCGAAGCTCTAGCTCGATCAGGGGCCAAACGGCAAGGGGGGGGGGTCCAACCGACCCCCCCCCCTACACATTAGAAGCTGGAAAACGCCGCACACATGCGAGGGTTAATGATTTTGAGATGACAACTGCTTCACAGAGTTTCTTTTTTATATTGAAAACTATTGAAAAAGTCGTTGGACGTAGGCATTCCGTTCGTGTTACCGGGCGGGCTGAGTCTGAGGCGCCATGAGACGCGGTACACGACCTTCCGGCTTTCGGGCGCTGTGCTCCTCTATCCGACACCGGATTCTAGTGTCATTACCAGCCCCATCTCACCCGTCCCTTCAGTACGGGATACGGCGGCTGCTACCAGCTCGTATTGAGCGGTACCCGCCCATGACGGCGACGCTGGTGGAGCTAAAAATGGCTCTCTGATCATTTTATGTCTCCATCTTACCCTTTGATTAACTTTTAGTGTGAGTATATCTCTTCTAAAGCCTGACGCAGATGTAAAATATGTAGGTACACGTATATTCAAGACCGCAGCTCTGGTAACGAACGTATCGTGTCTCTGGCGTGTTAGTGGCGCGGCCACGGCCCGACCACCGCCCCTCCATCTCCGCTCTGTTTACATCTGGTGCCAGCGGGCCCCGCTCTGGACTGTGTTGGTACGGAGCTGACCTTCGTGGTGTCAGGGGACGGCCAGGCCCCCGCCGACGGTGACACTTGCACCGAGACCCGGCAGAGAGGCTGATAAAAAGCACGCTATATTTACCCACTGCATGGGTTTGTCGGTTTTTGCTATATGCTTGACGCCGTAGATTTATCCTTTTTACGGCAAATATCGGGCATTGAATCAGCCAGTATCTTGTGTGCATTGGCAAACATGTGATCAGGGCTGCGGAGTCGGAGTCGGAGTCGGAGTTGGAGTCGGTCGGAGTCGACAGTTGTGACCGGAGTCGGAGTCGGAGTCGGAGTCGATTTTAGAAACCCGAGCCGGAGTCGGAGTCGGAGTCATCGAAAATCTGTCGACTCCGCAGCCCTGCTAGGTCTGCGGAGTCGGAGTCGGGAGTTGGAGTCGGTCGGAGTTGACAATTCTGCCCGGAGTCGGAGTCGGAGCTGGTTTTTGAAAGCCGCAGTCGGAGTCGGAGTCGGAGTCGCCGAAAATCCATCGACTCCGCAGCCCTGCATGTGATCGTTATTATTGTGACATCACGGATTCACGTTGACTGTCACGTTGACTACCGCAGCACGTAGCGTCAATATTGTTACCCCCGTCTCAGTCGCTGCGGGCTGCGTATTGCGTAGTTCTGCTCAGTGATCGCTGAGCCCCCACTCAGAGGCCCTGTTTCTCGGTCAGGGGACTGTGTTGCACTCCGGAGGGCTCGTCTGCCGCGGCCAGAGGGCTTTGTCTCATTGGAAGTTGTCTGCCGTGGCCATACCGACTTCCCGCGCTTCTGTCTGCCCAGTTCAGAATATAGCCTCTGGTCCATACCATGCGGCTTATACACCTGAGTTGACCACTACGACGATCGGTGCTTGTACCTTGCGACCCCCGACGTGTGGCCAGCTCTAGGGGCGGTGGGTCACGGCGACCGTCTGTTTAGCTGTGGCCCTGCAGAGGCACGGCCGTGAGGCCCGTGGGGAGGAAGCACCAAAGCAAACAAATAGTGGCCGATAGGATAGTCCGTCCTGATAGTGGTCATCGAATCGTTGGCACATCACGATATGATGCTGGTTATGTGTTATGTGTTGGAGTACAAGGAAAAATATATGCCAATACACTTGGCAAAGCCTGAAGTTCCCCCTGGGTGATGAATTCCCGATGCCTGCGGCTTGCGTCATTTGTGGGATGCGTAGTGTGTGACATTTGCTTAGCTTTGCTAATGACCTTAGCTAATGAGTCATCGATAATCACACTCAGGCAGGTGCTCTCAGCCATCGTCCCATTTGCCCCCCCCCCCCCACAGCTGTTCTAATATTCCTGCTACCGACATCTCATCCGACCCGTGAACAGCAATGCACCGTTCTCACCCTCCCCGCCTCCCTTCGCTCCCAGGTACTACGGCGGCACGGAGGTGGTAGACAAGGTGGAGCTGCTGTGTCAGCAGCGCGCGCTGGACCTGTACCGCCTGGACCCGGCGCGCTGGGGAGTCAACGTGCAGCCCTACTCGGGCTCTCCGGCCAACTTTGCGGCGTACACGGGAGTGCTGGAGCCGCACGATCGACTGATGGGCCTGGACCTGCCCGACGGCGGACAGTGAGTGGGCGGGGTGAGGGAGGGAGAGAGGGGTATGGACTGGAGAGGGTTACGTAAGACATGAGGGAGAGAGAAGAGGAGAAAGATAGCTGAGAGGCAGCTCACTTGAGGTAGAGGCTGGGCCATAAGGGCATCCCGGCAATGGATTATATAATGTGTTCACTCGGTCACTAAAGCATGTCTCACACCGACCCTGCCGCTGCCAGTTATTAGAAAGGCGATAACCCGACTCGAGACAGGTTTTTGTCGGGCTGTTTTTCGTTGGATTCGTGCTTGCTTTTTGCTGATATTCGTGGGATAGTGTGGACTTGTGTTGTGACCGCTCAACGGTAATTTCACAACATCATTTTCGTTACGCTTCCATTGCGAATGATCCGATATTGACTTCCCTGTGTAATTGCGTTTACCTTCACCTGGCGTTTCCGTCCCAGTCTGACTCACGGCTTCATGACCGAGAACAAGCGCATCTCTGCGACGTCTGTGTACTTCGAGTCGATGCCGTACCGTCTGGACCCGAGCACGGGCTACATCCACTACGACAAGCTGGAGGAGACGGCGCGCCTGTTCCGGCCGCGACTTATCATCGCCGGCACCAGCGCCTACTCGCGCCTCCTCGACTACCCGAGATTCAGAAAGGTCCGTCCGCGGGGGGGGGGGGGGGGCTCCTACCCGAGAAACAGATAGGTCCGTCGCCTTGGGTCCGTCCAAGGCAGGCGCAGCGCACGATAGTCAAACGTTTGGTGTGAGGAGGTGGATTGCGTGACCCGATACTGTTCGCTGCTTTTATAAGTTTTGTTTGGAATCTTCTTTTTATCTATTTTCCGTTCTACGCCACGTACGTTATTGTTTGATGACAATGGAAATTACTGAAAGCATAACAGCTTGAAGGCTTCTACTTGTTACGGAATGTGCTCAAAGTCTTCCACCACGTCTACAGGCGCCCTGACGCTGACACCCTGTCCCCAGATCTGTGACGACGTGAAGGCGTACCTGTTGGCGGACATGGCGCACATCTCGGGCCTGGTGGCGGCCGACGTTATCCCCAGCCCGTTCGACTATGCCGATATCGTCACCACGACCACGCACAAGACGCTGCGCGGCGCCAGGTCAGCCGGTGGTAGGGAAGGGTCGCGGGAGGGTGGGTATCTTGGAGGTGGACAGTCATCTGGCGGATTAGTATGGCGTACTGTTGAGACAGGAGGCACTTTGGTGTAACGAGTGTAGGGAATGGTGGAGTCAAGAAACAGGTACTGAGTGGTTTTCAACGAGGAAAGTGAATGTAAGGCAGAATCAGGCAGGAATGGAGCATGATACAGTGACTTTTTACTGGGGCGTATGCTGCGTGTCACAACCACGAAATCGAAGTTGGCTTGCTGAACTCTGAGCGGTAGTTGTGGCTCAGTTTTGGCTTCCATATATGAGTTATCTGTTTGTAGGTGGCACGACCCGCCCCAACCTGATTCAACACAGCCTGACCTCACTAACTGACCCGTCACCACGGTCCGTCTCTCCACAGAGCGGGTCTGATTTTCTTCCGGCGCGGTGTGCGCTCGGTGGATAAGAAGGGCAAGGAGACGCTGTACGACCTCGAGTACCGGGTCAACTCGGCCGTGTTCCCGGCGCTACAGGGCGGGCCGCACAACCACGCCATCGGCGGCGTGGCCGTGGCGCTCAAACAGGTCAGAGGCGAGACAGCGGTGGGCTGTGAGTGGCCCATCTGACTGGACCTTATCTAACCCGTCATGGGTGAACGGTTAAAAGGCGTAGGTACAGCCGCTTCGCTGTGTGCTTGATCTGCCTGCTGCTGTTTGTGTTTCGTGGGTTGTTTATCTTTTCGTTGTGACAGGTGGAATTACTTGTGTTCAGTAGACCCAGTCCTTCCATAACCTGAGAAGTGGTGTCTTGAGTCTGTTTGGGTAAGATAGACGTCAGCTGAAGTGTGAGATATTTTATGCTTCAGATTTCAGGTACTCTATTTAAAATGTTGTCACCTTTTATACCTCGGCTCCACTGACCAAGCTATGCTCTCCTCCGACTCCGGCAGGCGATGAGCCCCATGTTCAAGGAATACCAGCTGCAGACGCTGAAGAACTCCAAGGCCATGGCTGCGGCGCTCATCAAGAACGGATACTCGGTCGTGTCGGGAGGCACCGGTCAGTGCTGACCGCACACGCACCGTTAATCTGTGTGACTTATAATCCCACCTTGTCGCTCGACGAAAGAGGGAGAAGGGACGCTGGATAAGGTTTAGTTAGTGTGAAGGACATGATGAGAGAGGACGATTATGAGAAATGGCTGTGTTGCAAATGCATGCTTGAGATGTGAGTGCATGTTTGAGATGTGAATGTGGCAGTCAAGACTTGTTCAGTTATTTCAGGCTGCTACCACCTGCTCATCGTATTGTTTGACCTTCCCGCCGCGGCTGTTCGAGTTTTGTGTCCAACCTGTGGTGACCCTTGTGCCCCAACCTTTTCCCAGATAACCACCTAGTGCTGCTGGACCTGCGTCCCAAGCAGCTGGACGGCGCTCGCGTGGAACTCATCTGCAACCTGTGCAACATCACCGTCAACAAGAACTCTGTGCCGGGAGACAAGTCGGCGCTGAACCCCGGCGGCCTCAGGCTCGGTGAGTGGCGTCCGGCTGTCCGGCGGCGAATTGATTATGGCTGGGAATGTGACTCCGGGTGGATGTTGGCGGTTGAGCTAAATAGACATGACGCTTTCGGTGAATTTTGTGTCTCCAGCCCTCCAGTGAATATTGTCATTTGTCAACATTGCATTTAAGGGTGCTGTGCAATTCGAAACTGTTCAGATGCAGGTACCAATTTTTTGCAAACTGTTTAATGGTCATGCTAACTGATCGTGTTAACGAGTATAAGGGACGTCGAGTGACTCTGGTTAGAATCCTTCACCCGCTGACCACTGAAAACGCCCCTGTTCGCAGGCGCCGCCGCACTGACATCTCGTGGCATGAACGAGAACGACTTTGTGTTCATGGTGGGCTTCATCGACGAGGCGGTCAACATCGCCACAGAGCTCAAGGCAAAAACCGGTGGGTGTTCAGCTGAGGGATGTCAGGGTAATGGCAGATTGACTTACTGTGTGTGCTCATGGGTGTTTCGGGGTTATGGATCGAACTTGGATTTCACGTCAGCGCGTTGCTTTTGGGTGAAGAAATCCTTGAATGAACCGCTATATTCGGAATTAATTGTGATGAGTTATCGGAAAATCATGCTATCGGAAACTCATGCTACCGTGGGTTGTAAGATTCAGTCTGTCCTTTGGGTCTGGGTTTAATCACCGATCCCTATCCCAGCTTGACATTGCCTGTGTGTGCTCCCCCAGGCAAGAGTCTGAAGGACTACAAGGCCGGCCTGGCGTCCGACGCCGAAACGGCAGCCAAGATAGCCGATCTCAGGAAGCGAGTGCGCGAGTTCGCCAAGCAGTTCCCGATGCCCGGCTTTGACGACCACTAAGTGCCGTGCGCCAAGCCACAGCCGCCGGCCGCCGCCTTGAACACGGTCAGATGCGATCGGGCTGGTCGGGGCCCATTCTTCCGAGATCAGGGGAACCTTCAGCGGGTACTGTTGACCGTTTGTTTTGTCAGATAATGGTGTGTGCTACCATTGATGTTTTTTATTAAAACGGTCGTTTTTTTCAGTTACCTGTTCAGGTATTTTGAAGGTCGATTTTACGAGGACGTCATGTGAAGCCATGACTGCACAGTGCACAGTATGCACGTGCTTATTCTTATCCATGCCGATTGATATGAATGAGGAAGCTATTTTTAGGAGTCTAGGACGATATCAGCCCAGGATATTCTGCCGCATTCTCCCAATGCTAACTCATGATACCATGACAGGTCGATGTCTGGAGATACGGTGTAGCGGTACATTTATATATAAAACATTGGGGCCCATTTTCGGGCAGGCCATGCAGTGCGTGTTGGCCATTCCCATGCGTCCCGCTCATTCAGTGACAGCAGCTCGCTGCCGTCACATGTGTTATAGCTGTGTATATACTAGAAACACCACTTTCAGTGGCGCTGCCCCTGCCGGCCACTGCCAAAGCCGTGTCCAAGAGTGTGACTGCCCAGCCCCCCTCCCTTCCTCTCTCCCTCTTTCCTCCGCTGACTCCCTCTCCCTCCGTTCCTTCGACATTGTACTTCACTTGTTAGAAGTAGGAGCTGCGTCTGTGGCCACTGGCGGGTTCTGTGCAATTCGAGACTTTCCACTGAGGGTGGTGACTTGCTCATCTGTCCTATAGCGACGGAAGATGTCTCTCATCTGTTTTCTTAGTTTCAAGTCGAGTGTGGGCCTAGTCGTAAGAGATATGTCGGCTGTGTAGAATTACTTAGAAAGATGCTATTGGGTTTGTAGATATCTCGCACCAAATAACGAGAAATAAGTTCGTTCACGACCAAACGAGGGCTCTAAACCCCAGCACTACTTACTCGATGACGAATGCCATTTCGATTTGCTCTCGTCCAATGTCCCCCGTTCTCCACTTCCGTTTCGCTATGTGTTTATCGTATTTCCACACACATTTTCACTCGCTTTGCCTGTTGGATGCTGCCTGAGCAGGGAGCCCTGTGTTCCAACTGTGTGTTATGCAGTGTCCCGGCGGTCTGATGTCGCCTGTGCCGCCATCTATGCTGTTCATCCGCCGTGACCTCCCGTCGCAGTGATATGCGATTCTCGATGGGGTTTGGTTTTGCTCCCAAACCGTGTGTGCGTAGTGTATTTCGTGTATCTTTTCGTGGGTTTTTAAATATATTATTTGGATATTATACTAGAATTTCATATATAACCTCTGTTGTGCTTAAGAAAGCAGCAGTATACGCAAAAACAATGACTGGTAGTCCCTGTAAACCGCTATGATGACCATTGAACATTGAACAGCATCTTTTCCCAGTTATCCGTTAGGTACCACATTGTTGACGCGAATGTGCTTGTTCAAGTGTTGGGACCCGGGGCAAAACTCAGTGGATATCAGACTCTTGTTTATTCTTAGCCGTTCGATTCCGGACAATGAGTACTATATATAAAAAAAACTCAGCCGATCACCGCCCACAGCTGTAACAACAATAACAAACAACTCAATTCATCTTGAAAGATCGATCTGATGACGGAATAACGTTCCTTTCCCCGCTCGCCGGGCTTTCTGTACATCCTCCACTGCGGACTTGAAACTCTGCCGCCGGAATGGAGATAAAAGCGGTGTAGGTCCCTTTCAGCTACAGTAGCCAGGAGTCGAAGTAGAAGTGGTCCTTGATTGTCTCCGGGTGCGCCTCGTCATCTACAGTCACGAGTCCGAACGCCAGAGCCCAGTTGGTGATGAAGCTGAGTGGAGAGAGGGGTAGGGTAGTGAGACGGAGGTTTGAGCGCCAGAGCCCAGTTGGTGATGAAGCTGAATTGAGAGAGGGGGAGGGAGTGAGACTGCGAGACATTTAGTGATGAGTATGCACTTGAAATTGCAGGTGTTGGCGGTTCAGTCTGATGAATGATGCGCCCGCATGGATATATACAGCAATGTTATTGAACAGATATATAGCTGTCATCTGGCGCTGGCAGTTCCCTGAAATAAGAAACTATCATTTGTGCAGGGTCCCTGTCACATAGGTTTACCTGCACACGTTTTCACTCACCTGTTGACGTAGAACGCTGTGAAGGCTGCTACAACGGTGGGCCGAACGAAGGCCCGCAGCCCGGGTCTGAGGAAGCCCTCCAGACGACCAATGGCAGCGTCCGTCAGCAGCCCTGACGGAAAAATCGGGCAGGGTTGTTACCGGGTGCAAGCTCCTCAGAACCCACCTTGCGTAGCTGGGAAAAGCTTGTGTGATTTTCATATATGATCTCAGCCAGACCCCGCGAAGTAATGCGGTACAGCATAGATTCAGGCGTCATACAGCTCCTGCCATCTTGTGGCAGGAACTGAAACGTATAGTGTGCGCTGCTACCGTAGTGCAGTGCCCTGCGGTACAGCATAACTTCAGGCGTTCTGTCTACGCTGGTCTACGCCATCTGGCGACAGAAATATAATAAACATGTGTCACGCTAAATGCGAACTGCGAATGAGTGAATGCAGCGTCTGTAGTTGTTTGTCGTCCTAATTTTATATTGTTACATACACAAATGTCAAATTTACACTTCCTGCACTAAGTGAATAATGCAAAGTTTACGCCATGTTATACACTGGGAGCGCAGCAGGCTACCTGCCTACCGACGTCATACAGCAATGCCTTGTACCTACCTTCCACAGACATCCCTCTGCATCCCGACCCACCTGTGATCATCGTGCTGAAGAAGAAAGCCGGTAGGTAGTGGTGGAAGTAGAGGATGCGTCCCATGGCCCAGAAGGGCAGGTAGTGCAGCGCCCAGCCGGTGGCCAGGAACACCACTCCCTCCACCAGCCGGGAGGGCTCTGAAAGGGCGCCAGACAGGAAAATTGTCATTGAGGCGTGGGGTTAGGTACTGGTACTGTGTATGTAAGAGTATTTACCAAACATTTTGTTGAAGTACAAGCTATCGTCGCAGATGCTTTCGCATTTCGAATAGACGTTGAGTCGTAGATTGCATGAAGCTCATCTACAGTCCACAGCTTACATCAGAGGGGTACTCAAGACTCCATTACCGGTAATCTATATCGGCAATTAATTTTATCGAAATTCACTACAGTTCACGGCACGTCTCTCACCTGTTTGCGTGGTCTGCCGGGCGCGGCGGTAGGCGTAGCTGACAGCCAGCACGGGCAGCAGAGCGAGCACTGCCAGGTTCAGGAAGTACACCTGCGGACTGCCTACAAAGTAGAGCGAGTGCATGTCGGACGCGTGGCCCGGACAGCCGCGGTACAGCACCGGCCACATCCACGGCCGGCTGCTCAGGTGCTTCTGGATGCCCTCCTCGCCCTCAAACTCGTAGAACGTCAGACGCTGGTTGGACGCGAACATTACCCGGTGCATCTCGATTATCCTCTGGATGGTTGATAGCTGGAAGCGCTCCTTTAGATTCTCTGCCGGAACTGAAATACGAAGGAAACGGCGGTCACTGGCCAGGGACGCTGAGCTTATTCATGAAAATGGCACTTTTTAAAGTTATATGTTCAATTGTTGTTATAACGAAACCAAGCGGCAAGCAGTGCGTAATGGAGGAATAACATTCATTTTTCCCAAAGACAGTGCAAGTGGATGGTCGTTCTGTAATGGTATTGTATTGTCTTTCTCAATTGATGGGAACATGACGAATTTTTATCAGCAACAATGATCACCAGCCATCTCCCATTCTACTTACTCCTGGGATTGACGTTCTCGTCGATCTGAAACACCTGGCTGGGATCATTGAGATTTAATCCTTTCGGGTCGCAAGCCGCCTCCCATGCGTGATATCCCCTGTAACAGCATCACGCATTATCTCAGCGAGACGCACAAACATATGTACATACATACCGGTTCTCTAGTCGCAGAAATGACGAATTGACACGAGGCAGCATTTGCATAAGCACACATGGGCACGCTTGGTAAGAGGCGTCGCAATGCGATAGCACACAATCATGATACAACTATCCACACATAGAGCAAAATACAACGCAATGGGCAAAAGATAAATCAATCAGCAAAATCGGAACAATTACAGGTGTATTGAAAACTATGGACATTCAGATAAGGCCACAAACACCACGGTGGTATTTTCCAAATAAATCACATACCTATGCGACGTCGCAACACCTACCACCTAGAACCACAGGTCCCTCGGTTCATCTGTGGTCGCCCTCGCCCTGCACTGACCATTCGGGGTACTTGCTGATGCCGGGCCGCAGCGCACAGCCTGTTCGGTTACTGATCAGCCGGAACCCGGGGTGGATGGCCGAGAGAGGCGTGACGCCCGGCTCGGCAGAGGGGTCGTCCACCAGCACCCGCCACACGCCGCCCTCGGGAAACTCGCCGATCTGGGCACAGGTGCATGGCGCTACATATAACTGTATAAACGTGCTCCGGATTCTACACAAATAAAACACTTCTTCCACCCCCGGCGCCATAGATTTAAGTGCATAGCACTTTTGCGCCAATTGCTTATGCTATTTATGAATTTTATGTTGTTCTAGTGTGAATAAATGCTCTCTCTCCCCCCCCCCCACAAAGTCAACAATGGAGCGAACTGCACACTCGCTGCTCTTCCCTTTTCTCTATGCCTGTCTGTCTCTCTTTGTCACTGTCTTTGTGTCTTTCTTTTTGTTTCTGTCGCTGTCTTTGTTTCTCTCTCGCTCCCTCTCTTTCTCCCTCTCACTTTCCTTTTCCCTCTCCCTGTCCCTTTCTCTCTGTCCCTTTCTTTCTTTCTTTCTCTCTCTCTCTCTCTCTCTCTCTCTCTCTCTCTCTCTCTCTCTCTCTCTCTCTCTCTCTCTCTCTCTCTCTCTCTCTCTCTCTCTCTCTCTCTCTCCCTCCCTCCATCCGTCCCCCTCTCTCTCCCTCTCCTCTCTTACCTCGCCGTAGCCACAGGCCATGTACATGTGTTTGGTGATGGCGGCCGGTAGCCGATGGGTCTGAAGATGCCGCTCCGTGAAGACGTTCAACAGACGCACCAGATCGCCGTGCATCACCGGTTCCGGCACGTAGTCAGGAGAGCGCAGGTCGACAATGTCTTCGTCATCGGCGTGCTTGAATGCCCTGACAGATAAAGGGCGGATGTAATGGTCATGATCAGGTGTCATGTGTGTGTCATTATAAGTTGAGCAATCCTACTGTTCTACTGTTATCTATGGTTGATGATAAGCCCAATAATGTCATTCATAATCGTTTGTGTGTTTTGACGTAGCGTTTCAATACAATATTGGCATGATGAGAGTATTGCTTTATGACGTTGTGATCTGGGATTGAAGAGCGTGGATCTTATCACATTTGTTGAAGCGTCAGCCTAAGCTATCACCAGTGTTGTCAACAACGGATGTATGATAGACATTTCATTCTCATTCTGAATTTTATATTACGGCTTCGTTTGTAACAACACTTTCTTTATCCATATTCCGAATTCTGAAACCGTAATCCTGCAGGCAACTACATTTTGTATGTATAGGTACAGAGTTCTATGTGTGTTGCAGTTCACCACTCACCATGCGTTCAGTTCGTCCATGTTCATATCGAACGAGAGTATCTGATGCTCCGCGGTGAACTCGGGCGGGTAGAGGTCGTACGAGGTGGTCAGGTACCCGATGGCCGGTACTGTACTCAGTATGGTGACCTGTGCCCCGTACATGACCACCGGGGGAGTCCGCTGGCCGATCACGTTATCAGGGAACGACAGACGAAACTGGGCCGAGCCCAGGCCAATCCCAGGCATTCTGTAAAACAAACGGCATTTATATTGTATGGGGATACTAACTTCATGTACGTGGCAATTACATGCATGCATGTTTACGGTAACGCTATGTAATGTACACTATATGCTGAATTACTTTCCACATAGATACGGCTCTCAGCTCTCAGAAAATGTTTTGAAATTGATAAGAGTACATTTCTATTGTTTTCGATTATTGAAGATTTTCATAGGCTATGATAAGGCTATGTACGATTATATAGGCTATGTATTTTTCGTGTTTTCGACACTGACTTACGTCGACCCTTCGTCTAGTATCTGTAGATGGAGGGCGAACGTGGCCAGGTACAGCAGGAGCGGCACCAGAATCAGGCCCACGCAGCGCGCCAGTACGTGCTTCACCAAGTTCCACTGAAACAAATCCAGGAGTCAGGAGTCAAGGTGCGCCCGACAGTCTGGTGAAAGATGATTTAACGAGTGGCGACGTCTAAGAAAAGATCATTTACTAGCACAAACATTTTTCACAAAAATTTCATTTGCCGTGAATTATCGCATGTTCGAGCCAACAAAACGTATGCGTAGCGTAAATGACTAAAAGGTCGCAACCCAACGGCAGAAAATAACATTATTTCATTCATTCATTCGTTCATTCATTCATTTTTGTTCGTTCTTTCGTTCGTCCTTTTGTTCGTGGCTTCATTCATTCATTCTTTCATTCATTCATTGCGCCTCCCAGATCCTACGATAACGGCGGCTGCCTCACCAGGCTGGCGGTGAGGTCGCAGTACTGCTCCCAGAGGTCATACACGGCCTGCACTCCGATCAGGGCCACGACAAACGCGCCCACGTACTTGACGGCCATGGTGAGACCCAGGGCGACGCCGGTGGCCGTCATCCACAGCCACCAGCGCAGCCCGAACGGACTGCCGGCGAGGGATGGTGGAGGTCGTTACGGAAGTAAACAAAACAGTCAGCAGGGCCCAAAACTTCCATCCCAGATGCTTCCATCCCAAAACTTACCCCTTAGATGACCATACATCTAAGTGAAAAGCAGAAATGTCTCACAGAAGCCAAAAATCTCTTATTTATATGGGATTAATCGATCCAAATATTCCCTGAAAGTCGAAGACAAACGAAATCACGAGATGTTACTTACTTGTGTCGTTGTGAGGCGAATTTGACGCCGCAGAAGGTCGATAACAGAATGAACCAGAGCAGAATCGGGTCCAGGATGACCAGTCGATTCAAGGCATGGGCTGCCGGATCTGCGAAGATGCGTATTCGTTATGCCTATGCATTAAATGTGCAGCTGCTCATACGTGTAGTAGCAATGGACAACATTTAACGTTATGTCAAGCCTATCCCAATGGTAAGTGAACCTAATCAGATGAAAGCTATTCGTAGCTTTCAATATTCCGTTCTGAAACTATCAACCAAACAGCTGTTCCATTTTACAGCCATCCTGTTACCATGACTTAACCATGCGCGCTAAAGCGTTTGTTCTGACCACAACTGGTAAGCCACTGACTTTGTGGTTGAGGACGAACCAGAGACAATGAACCACAGCACATACATATACTAACCACAGACGATGAGAACGGCCGTCATGAAGGCTGCTGACAGAGACCTGCTGATCTCCCAGACGGTCAGGAACGAGGTGATCACCTGCAAAATGCCGAATGTCGCCACACCCTGTCGGCAACACGCGGCACAGTCGCCTTCAGTCAATGACATCTTCAGGCAACATCGGCATTACGGGTCAGTCACCTTCAGTCAATTGTATCATCAGAAAACATCGACAGTTCGGGTCAGTCACCGTCAGTCAATGAGATCCTCAGTCAACATCTGCCCTCGTCAGTCAATGGTGTCTTCAGTGAACATCATCACTCAGCAGTTTGCGTCACAATCACCTATAACGGCATCTCAGGAAATGTCCGCAGGTGGCGTCAGTCACCCTGAGTCGATTCCATCTTCAGTTAATGTTGCCGGTTTTCCGTCTGTGCAAGTTGCAACGGGCATACCACAGGGGGTTGCAGCTAGAAAGAAGTTGAATGTCGATTTTATACGGTGTACCGTGTTGTTTTATATTGAGAGGCTAACACAATTACTCCTATATCTTTACCGATTCCTACTCATATGATGTTATCTTCTATTCGAGGCAGATATTAGCTTACCATTCTCATGAAGATGTACCACTGGTCGTACGGATACTGGTAGACATGTTTGACGTTGACCAGTTGGGTTCGATTCTGGCCGGCCAGGTACCCGATGCCGCCAATTATCATCTGTAAAGGGGGGGGGGGGGCATCAGACAGTATCGTGATATCGTTCTTGGAATAAAATTGCACACCTCCCTTTTCTCGCAAACCTCGCATGTCATATCTATATTGTGCAGTTGACTCAGAGTCTAACGATATCATTCTATTATCATTCTATCATTCTGACGATAGGAATACCGAACGAAAGTGAGAAGGACTTTGTTATAATATCCATTCCATACAACTCAATATCTGTCCTATGTTTCAGTCACATTACCTTTCCCAGCGGAGGATGCACATCTTGAAAGTACGTCCCATTCAAGTAATGCTGAGAGAACCTCAAGAAATGGTACTCGTCCCATCTGAGAAATCAACAGCGGGAGTCAATCATATGGGTGTCATTTCATTTAAGATAAAAGGGCCAAATTTAGGTTATAGGGCACAGTTACATTTGAGCAGTTATCTCGGCTCTAAGCGCCACCGCGGTCCCTCCTGTCCGTTCCGGGTACATACGTGACGGCTGGCGGGTCTCCGATCTGGTAGTAGCGGAGCAGGCTGGTGACGATCACCAGTGAGACGAGGCTCAGCCACCAGACGACGGCGTACAGTCGACCGCCGCCCTCCGGTTGCCTGAAAACGAATAGTGGGATTCTGACTATATGCAGTACAGACGGCCGCCGCCCTCTGGCTGCCTGAAAACGAACGGGTGACAAAAAAGTGCGGCTCTGAACGGGCGACTTAGAACGATACGGGTCAGAAGGGGCGACTGTGAAGTGTGAACGAAGTAGGTCCATACGTACGAATATGAGCGTGCGTCTCATAAACGTACGACAGTGGACGTATGTACGGTACGAATGTAGTCACATATAATCATGTGAAAGCAAGATTTTGATCGTGCAGCTCTGAAGAAGGTGCCGGTGGATGATGTTGATGTGCAACTATGTACTTTTTTCAACCATACAATGCATTGATTTCATCTGACGGTGGATAAACTCTGTTTAGTTTTATCCACCGTCGTACACAATACTCGCCAAGAGATGTCCCCAAATATAAATACACCCACCGAAAGAAAATACCCCTTTTCGCGTTGCGGAGCAGGCGGGCACCCTAGTAATGTACCTATTTACTGACCAGAGATGTGCTTAATGTTCAGAATCGCCATCTGATTCCATCGGCAGAAAGATAGGTAGGCGAACTATTACACCTGGTACTTGGGTCTTCATGAGCTGTACCTTTTTAGTGGTTGTACAATTTCAGTTGTGCGGGCACTAATATCGTAAAATCACTTTCTCACTATTCCATTGAGATATATGTATAACACACCGATCGCGTCCAAACCGTCGCAATACCAACCCTCTCTCCGTCGAAGTCCCAGCTCCCCCTTCCCTCACCTGGCCTGCTCTGTCCTCTTCTCTGTCACCTTCACCTCCTGTCTGAGCAGCGCTGACAACATGTCACCGTCCTGGACCGGTCACGGTCGCACCGTTCACCGTATGCGCCTCCGCGCCCGTCCGCCCGCCGTCGTCTCGCGTCGCTACTTCTACTGCCTCTGCCGCCGCTCTCCCGGTCGGCCGGAGTTCAGGGTCAGTGACCCATCCGTGCTGGCCCGGCCCGCCGCGGTGGATGAGAGCCTGGGGCTAGTCGGCGCCGAGTAGAGGAGAACGGAGTCCAGCCGAATGCATGCCCGAGTGCATGTCCGCGGTTGGCCGGCCGCCCGCCCGGCTGCGTTGCATGGGTTGCAGTAGGTTGTTAGGAGGGAGTAGACTCCGTGGTCTTTTGGTGCTATGTTACAAAATAAGGTGAATCTGTGTTGTTGGCATGGTGTTAGGCATTTGAAGTGAATGTGGAAAATACGGACGCATTCGTAGCTTATAGTCTAGGTCGTTGTAAATTACACTGGCCATTTTTCGTTTGCAGGGTGCATGCAGAACGTTTTCAAGTATTTTTCTAATGAAATATGTCTGAGAGCCAGAATTCGTATAAACGAAAACTCTCTTTAGTTTGGATAATGCTTATAACCCAAAAGAAATCCGTCCTTTCCTCTCCGGGATAATGCGTAGAACACTTACACGGGTGATTTTCACGCATCAAATGTGTCTACTTCCACAGTTTTCTTAGGTTCCGATTCCGGAATCGTTACTGGGTTTAGTTGCAAACAGGGTCATTTTCTTTCACTGACATGTATTGCACAACTGTACAAATAATCAGCGCTGATCAGATCATGTTATCTATGTATTTTCGGACTCTTGTCATCTTCATACTGCCCGTACGCGCGGCATCACATTCACGACTGTCGCGGCACTTGCATTGAAATCTGGTCAAAATGAAATGACACATGGTACCTATGATTATATCCGTAACCAACGCACTTTTGCATTCAGACGGAGAAGAAAGAGCAGCTTCATGAGCTTCTCACTAATCCTGGAACATCGAAGCATTTGCAGATGCCTAGGATATAGCGTAAGATGAATTGCATAAGATGTCCACGAGCATCAACAACTTAGGTTAAACTGGGGCAGCCGCCTTCACTTTCCGATTTGTTCGTGTGACGGTAACTCAATACGCTGGTGACATGGTAACATACACACATCACGGTCACAACTCTCACATTATCAGCTAGACCCAGAACTAATCCTGATTCATTTAGCAACGTGCCTGGCCAGTCACGCCCGTAATATTTCCGTCACATTTCGTCACATTAAAATCCGTGTCCCGTCCTGCCATTGTGTATTACTGAGTGATCCCCGGACCCACCCTCCCCTACCACCCCTGCAATACCACAGATTCTTCACGGACGGCCCTACACCTCCACACGATTCCTAACATTGACCGGCCTGCCGGGCCTCCCGGCGGGCCGGGGTCTGGACGGGACCGGTGCGGGGACCGCCGGGACCGGCGCGGGGACCGCCTGGTCCGAGTCCGGGGCCGCCGCCGGGGCTGGGGGCCGCGGAGAGCTGGCTCGGCTGCTGGCCTGGCGGACCGGCGCCGCTGCGCTGGTGCTGGAGCTGGAGCTGGGGCTGGAGCTGGGGCTGGCGGGGGACGGGGCCCGGGGCGGCGCCGCGCCCACTGCTGGCGCTGCGGCCTCTGGAGGACCCCGGGAGGAGCTCTCGCCGCTCGGAGGTCGGCCCACGGCGCGCAGCGGGGCGCTCCCGGCGGCGGCCCCGGCTGAGCCCGCCGCTGTACTGACGGAGGAGTCCGAACCGGCGGGGTCGGAGGGTAGCGGGCCGCCGACTGACGCCATGTCGGCCGCGGAGGCGCGGAACGGCTCCACGTCGGCCGGCTTGTGGGACCTGCAACACGACGAAAACGGTCACCTGGTGGTCACACTGGCTGATAACTGGCATTGATGCATGGAGTACCATGAAACTAAATTTTCAACACAACTTAACTGGAATAAATCGCGCAGTAAACGTTGAAAATGAATGGCTCAACATTGGAAGACCGGCAAGAAAGACCAGATTGTTGTTTTCAATCGGAGGCTCAAGCTCAAACATTTTCTCATTACCATCTAACCCAGTAGCAAAGTATCTTACGAGTATCGGGAGAAGGGGACGCCGATGAAGACCATGTGGAAGAGGAAGCCCTTCTTATTCTCCAGCCAGAACCGCCAGAGACCGCCGTGGTGTCCGGTGGTGGAGTAGGGCCACAGACCCCAGCACTGCGTGTGAAAACGGAGACAGGTCAATGACGAAGAGTGAGACGGGTCTGCCGGGCGAACGGCGTCTATGTAGTATATACTATATTGCATAATGAAGAGGGATTTTATGGTATTATAATTATAACGACTTTCAGGTCCACAAAGACCGAAGACAAGAGCGTCTATTACAGTGGCGCAGCCAGGATTTCGTTTCGGGGGGGTCATCGCTTCCAAAGCGGGCCCCCTAGTGTGCGGGCCCCCACCCATTTTTCAGAATCTCTCCATATTTCATACGCATTCTGCTGGGCGGGCCCCCTTTACCTGCACGATAACCCTGAGCGAGTTTGAATCAGAAAATTTGCATAGAACAGTAGCTCGGTAATCACCCGGTCTTCACTTTTTACGCAAATTGACCACGACAGAAATATGTTACTATGACGTATGACTTCGTATCTTTCGAGTCCGATATGAGCCCCAATTCCCCAATATGCATAGCATATTATATGCAATCGGAACTGTTGCCTGCTTCTGTCGCACAAGATTTAAAAGTAGTCCCATGTGCCTGTCCTAAGTCATCTATTGGCTGCTGTAGTAGATTGTGCTTTTATTCTTCTTCATTACGTGAATTCGCTCGTAAGAAGTTTCGCCGGCACAGAGGGGAGGGGTTGATGCAACCCCCTAAGGTTTTTTTCGCGAAGAACTCGCGTAAAAAAGCGGCTGATCGCGACGTAACTTCCATAGTGCGCTGAAATTCGCGCAACTTATAGAACAAGGATGGGTAACGTGCCTGTGAAGAGTCACAGCTCGATCGGGCCGGTGGTGAGCACATGGCGCGTGCTCAAAAAGTGCAAATTCGCGTCATAGACTTTACATGCATAAATCGGCTTGCAAAAATGGGCGACAATGGCTCAACTTGCCCGACACGGGTCCAGTCCCCGTGCAGTATCTCGGTAACCGTGGGTCCGATCGGCACGAGGAACACAGTATCGTGCATGAGAATCGAACGGGCTATCGAATGGTGTGCGGTGCAGGGATGGCACGCGCCACGTGCACCCGTGAGGGCACTTATGCTTGAAAAATTGACGTTTTGGACGGATTTTGGACTTAATGCTATTTTTGGGTGACTGTCAGACGGAGCGGGTTCAAACAACGCTTGTTGGCAAGAGAAATGTACCTACCGCCTCTCATGGGAAAATTGTGAAAAGCTAATTGATCAAAAACAAGGTGGAACAAATTGCTGGAGAAAATAGCATTTGCTTATGACTTACTTAATTACAGGGGTTTTGCTACATAACCTGGTATGTTTGACAATTGAAATGGGCATAGATTGGAAGAGCATTCAATTGTGACCAAGGTCCAATCATCGCTTTTGCATGACGAGCAACAATATTCTTAAGAATATAAATGTTTCAAACCTCTACATAGTAATTCATCGATGGCTTTCACTCTTCAATAACCTACGCCAACCTATGTCATGAAATACACTTGGCATGTTCTATAGTAGAACGCATGGTTATTATCAGACACGAGCACCTCGATGCGATGGATATTTTTTCCCAAAACCAAAATGCTTAGCCGTCAAAAGGCAATCGACCGTAATGGATACATAACCCACAGACACAAGACCAACCAAACGCCCACCGATCGAAAATACCCCTTATTCGCGTTGCGAAGCAAGCGGGTCACCCTAGCGGGCCCCATTCACCCGGGGGCTCGGGCCCTATCCACATGGGGGACCAAGCCCTATCCATACGGGGGCCCGGGCCACGTTCACCTGGGCTCCGGGCCTCGTCCACCCGGGGCTCCGGGGCCCGCCCACCAGGGGGCCCGGGCCCCATCCAGCCGGGGGCCCGGGCCCCGTCCACCCGGGGCCTGGGGTCCGTACTCCCGGGGGCCCGGACCCATCCATCGGGGGGCCCTGGCCCCATCTACCCGGGGGGCCGTGCCCCATCCACCTAAGGGGCCCGGGCCCGTTCTCCCGGGGCCCGGGCCCCATCCACCCGGGGGCCTGTGCCCTATCCACCCAGGGGCCCGTGCCCTATCCACCCAGGGGGCCCGGGCCCGTTCTCCCGGGGCCCGGGACCCATCCAACCGGGGGTCCGGTCCCGTCCACCCGGGGCTCAGGGCCGTTCTCCCGGGGGCCCGGGCCCCATCCAGCCGGGGGCCCGGGCCCCCTCCACCCAGGGGGCCCGGGCCCGCTCTCCCGGAGCCTCGGGCCCCATCCACCCGAGGGGCCTGGACCCGTTCTCGCGGGACCCGGGGGTCCGGGCCCCGTCCACCCGGGGCCCGTTCTCCCGGTGGCTCGGATCCATCCACCGGGGCCCCATCCGCCGGGGGGCCCGGGCCCTATCCACCCGGGGGCCCGGACCCATCTACAGGGGGCCCGGGTCCCATCCACCCAGGGGGCCTGGCCCGTTCTCCTGGGGGGCCCGGGCCCTGTCCACCTGGGGCCCCAGGCCGACCCCTCACCCGAGGTGTCGCAGTGGGCATTTCTCGAAGCGGGCTCGTCCGATTAGATTAGGACCTCTCTCTCTCTCATCTCTCTCTCTCTCTCTCTCTCTCTCTCTCTCTCTCTCTCTCTCTCTCTCTCTCTCTCTCTCTCTTTCTCTCTCTCTCTCTCTCTCTCTCTCTCTCTCTCTCTCTCTCTCTCTCTCTCTCTCTCTCTCTCACTCTCTCTCTCGAGCGGGCCCCTGACAGAAATTTCGGGGGGGTCAGCTGACCCTCTGACCCCCCCCTGGCTGCGCCACTGGTCTATTAGTTATTCATAAAGTCAACGCAACGACCCTATCATGGTTGAATAGATAACAAAAAAAAACGTAACATCTCGATCTCAAATGATAGGTGCCGATATTTATCAACAGAAGGATGGCAAAGTAACCGAACAGTCTACCAGCACACACAAAGAAATAGCGTATCATCGTAGGAGCAGAATGCGCTGGCGGCTGACGGGAGACTGCAACCAGGCAGTAGAAAGATAACACTATCCGGCAGACTTGAACGAGGGCAAACACGGAGACTGCATTGCTGGGATAGACGATAACACCAAAGGTGAATATGGCACGGATCCTGCCAGTAGCCAGATTGAAATTATACACTCGTTAAAATAAACTCAGGTAGAAACTCGTTAAAATAAACTCAGCAAGGAGTAGAGATAGGAGATGAAGCAGCTGACCAAATCGATGACTTATTGGGACATCACACAATAAATACACATCATTGGACACTACATAGAAACAATGATACCGGCGACTGGCATTAGTAGAAAATAACATTGGTGGTCGCATACATGTCTGAACAAACCATTGCATGCATCAATTATTTGACTTGTCAATGACATCTTATTTACATCGAAGACTTAATTCGAATGCCACTCTTTTCTATGACGTAAGCTATAAGATTATGGTTTGACTTTAGCGTTGTAGCGAGTAACTTACCTTTGCCAGGTAGAACCATGTTGATATGTCGCTTTCTTTATCCATTTTAAAATATAAAATCTCCGTTTTATTCTGAAAGTGAGTTGGGCGTTCATCAGATGCAGTTTACAGAATCTATTGCACATTGCACAGCTCTTAAATGCATTTAATTAAAACCCGGTAAAATGCCCATATTTCATGGTGGCTTACAAAACCATCCCAGCAAACAATTTCAAATTGATGAGCATTCAAGCATATTAGAAAAAAAACACCAGCGTATACCAACATACAAGGAATACCTTACCTGATTTCTGAACTGCACAGTCATATTGCCTGCGCTGCACAGGTCTCCATAGTCTCTAATAACCACGCCAGCCTCGAGAGTCGCCAGCAAATCCTCTTCGTAATTCAGCTTATGAAGCCTGAAAGGAAACAAACATTTATCCATTGGAACGCAATCGGTGTGAGAGCCTCAGTACAACATGCAGACGAAGTTATAATTACAGCGGATCTCTAAAACAAAAATGTTTTAATTTCAAGGGTCGGTAAACCCTTTGAGCGTATTGACATCTTCGAGCTCGCTGTATCCCTTGATAGAAGACCAGATCCAACCCTATACCGACCCTTCCCGCCTCCCCCGTCGGCCTGCGCCGCCCCACCTAGTGACGTCCTGCAGCGCCGCCGAGGGGTCCGGGTTGACGGACAGGTTCTTGGACATCTGCTCGTAGAGGCCCGTGTTGACGAACTGCGAGTCCAGCCCGATGTGGTAGACGCGGTTGACGTCGGGTACCACCACCTCACGGTCGCCCCTGACCACCCTGTTCAGGAATGTCGTCCAGTCCTTGGTCTGTCGGTGACGGGGTGGATAGAAAAGGTTAGCTCGGTAGTTGTGGGGTTTATCACACGATGCAAACTGCTCTGAGAGCAGATGTTTATTGATGTTCTCGGACAACACCTTAAATTGATTCATCTATCCATTCATCTATGTATTCATCCTTTTCATCTATCGCATTGCATGAACAATCGACAATATTTACCGTAAATCTATGCATGGCTATGTAGTGGATAAGATAAGGTCGTTTGCTACAAAGAGCGAGCGACCGTGTACATCGTGCCCCGAACAGTCGCCTGACGCAAATTATCCGTGACCTTGAAACGGCATGCATGCAAAATGGCATGGTGATGATGCACATTGCACACGACCACTCAGCTAGCCGTGAGACGATTAATACGACATGCGGCAGAGACAGAGCGAGAGAGAGAGAGAGAGAGAGAGAGAGAGAGAGAGAGAGAGAGAGAGAGAGAGAGAGAGAGAGAGAGAGAGAGAGAGAGAGAGAGAGGCGGTTCGCTAGCCCTCTTACTCACTCACCCAGGCATATTGTGGCCACACGGGTTTAATATCGGTCTCGTACACGTTTCTGTGTAAGAGGAAGCCGGCCGAGGGCAGGCTGTCCACGCGATAGGCCACGTGCGCCACGTGAGACGTGTTGCGGTACGACTGTCGGTTCAGCGCGGACACGCTGAACAGACTCGGGTCGTCCACGAGCAGTGAGCGGGTCTGTCCGAAATACCTGCGGGGGGTTGCACAAGTTACAGCACAACACTGGCGCACGGAACGAGTCAGAACAAATTGAAGTGTTATATTATTTAGCTAAATTAGCACAGTAAACATGTCCGAATATAGGTACTTTTGAGGTACTCAAGCTAAACGGTTCAAATATCTTTCCGAGAGGAAAAAAGTGTGGTCCAGACAACTCATAAAAGGGCAACTGCCTACCAGATAAAATCGTGTTTCCATGCCTAAAAATCATCCATTAAAGAGAAGAAGACCTCACCTAAATATGTCCGGGGAGCATTCTAGATCTTCCTCGATGAACAGCACGTATTCAGCCTCCATGAAGTTTGTGAAGACATCGTCGAATATGTCCATGACACGGTTGCCAATGACACCCTTGATGTTTTTGTTCGGCTTAGCGGCGATATAACGGATCTGAAAATACGTTAACCAAATTTTCAACTCAGAATTGCAGGGAAAAACTTGATACAAATACATAATGACAGAAGATCGGCTAAAAGTAGTAAAAACGGCGATGAGTTAGAAGTAATTTGACAAAAACAGATTCGCTAATAATGCTGAATGGTACTGATAACGAAGCAAAACAAACGATAGTGCACAACCTCTCTACATGGACATCGGACAGTCATTCCGTCTCCTGGCGCACCTTAAAGCCGAAGAGTGTGACCAGCGCCTCCAGCTCCTGGTTGAGGCTGTTCTCCAGGTAGACGATAATGTTGCTGTACACGGCGCCCGGTGCGAATGCCAGCGAGCGCAGCGCCCGGTACAGGTAGTACGGCCGGTGGGTGGCCATTACCGCCACGTAGATCGAGTCCACGTCCTCCGTCTAGGACAGAGCGGGTATCAGAAGGAGAGAGCAGAGCAACGCGCTAAGGACAGAGTGAGCGTCAGAGGGAGGAGGGCAGAGCAACAGCGAAGGAACTGAACAAAGAACACATGCGTGGACCATATGCTGAAGGCCGTAAAATCACTGCTAGACGTAAATTAATTTCACTTTGTAAGTTCAATTTCAACGATGACGTTGGACGCATCCGTTAATTTTAAAACAACCCAACGCCAAGCTCTCATGAGTCGTGACAACCCTTAACCCTATCCCTGGCGGGGGGGGGCCTCAGGAGCCCCCCCTGAGGTTTTTTGGTTATTTCTCCCAAACGCTTTGAGCTAGGAAGCTCAAATTTTCTGACATTTACTAAAAGGCTTTTACGCAACATTTCTGAAAATTTTGAGTTGATCTGACCTCAGGTCAGGTCACCAGAGGCGGTTTGGTGACCCTACCTCAGAAAAGTTTGCAATCACGCCAGAGCTAGAGTTTTTGACCGATCAATTTCTTCTCTTCAGGCTTTAGTTAGGGTACCAGTATGTGCAATTTGTATATCTCAGAATTTTCATATCTGTGACCTGAGGTCAGGCCAGACTCGTGACCTTTACATTGCAAGCCTATGGGAAAATATTGAAACGCCTCCTGCTTCGTGTAAACGATTCAAAACCACCCAATTATTTCAGTATTATGTAAGATTATCTCATCGGTGATGATCCTGGTGCCGCTAATTGACAGGGGCACCGGCAAAGGTCATCTGAGGTCATGTGACGTCATAAATCGTTTTTCTGTGAATAAATCACGACATGACGGTGCTAAAGACTTGTAAGTGGTACCAAACTGCTCGCCTGGTCAAGGCGCGTCGTTTGGTATGCAGCATGACCATACCCCACAACCTCATTGATGAATGACCTGACCTTGACCTCAGGTCAAATTTCAAATTGACCTGTGAAGGTCATCACATACTTATTTCGCATCGCCTCGGCGAGAGCAACAAAAAATGTATTGGTTTGATGTCTCTATGTTTCTTAGTTTAAAAGTTATATAGGTAACTAATTCCAAAACATTTTATCATTGATGACCTCTGGTGACCTCAATATTGACCTGACCTGAAAATGTTTTATGTAAAAGTTGTAGATCTTTAAACGACCTATCAAACGCCGTTTGCCGTTTGTCGCTGCGATGTGTAGTTTTTTAGATCTGAAGGGGGGGCCGAATCGGCCCCCCCCCCGCCAGTTTCTTGTCCCGGCGGAGCCCGCCAGGAATAGGGTTAAATCGATGTAATGTTACAAAATGTGTAGTCTACATATCACAATGCGACCGCTTCCTCTGCTCTGTGCCCGCTCACTTACCGAGTCCGAGCTCTCCGGTAGGATGGGGTGCGGCTGCAGACACCGACACAGTCCCGGGTAGCCCTCGAAGTGGTCGCAGAACGTGTGTCGCCGGCCGCTCTCCTCCGACTCCGGCCAGTCACAGGGTGGGGTGTCCGGCAGTGAGCCGGGCCGCAGGTCCACGCGTAGGAACAGCGGGCCGCCGTACTCGCCGTCCACCGGAGCCGGGCTGAACGTCTCGCCCAGAGTCTGCTCCGAGCCCTGGTGATGGCATAAGAAAGTGTTAGCTGGGGCGGAAAAAAGTTACGCCGAGTTTGCATTCCGTACTATACCTACATGGGTATGCTATGTAGCTTATGGTGGTGTGATGTTTGTTATGGAAATAATTTTTGGCCCATTTATTTCCTAAATAAGAACCGAGTGTAGGTGCTTTTTAGGCACGAGTTCATCGTTCTCGAACATGCCCTAACACACAATCAAAGTCGTAATCGCTACGCCGTATTTGGTAGCCTTGTGGTGTTAAAATACAAACATACATGCATGCACTGCATGCCTACATTTATACTGCATTGCACGCGCACAATGCAGTATAAATTGTACCGAACAATAAGCAAAGTGAACTCGTTAGGTATCAGTAGGTATACAAAATAAGAACAGTGACTTGAGAAAAATAGTTTATTCAATAACCATAAGATGCGATGTCTCGCTTACCTTTATGGTAACCATGGCCCACTGGTCTCGGAAGCCCAAGTTGGGAATAAATTGCGAGCCAAGTTCTGTCAATTTGAATCGTAGGTCGGAATGCATGTTGAAGCTCATATCATCCTGAAATGCATTAGAAATACGTTAAACATATGTATAATTAATGTAAAATACGTACATCAAAATAGAGGTGCAATTAAGACCGATAAATTCGTAAAAACGAATTACACTCGCCTAAATTTGCCACAATTGTAATGTGTGTTGCAATTTTAAATGGTTAGCATGACTTACAGTCATTGAATAGCACACCATTATTCAAGTAATAATTTTTACACGTAAGATCTGTCGCAGAAAACAATCAAGTAACAGTGCTAAAATGGCAAAACGCTGATTAAAATTTTTTTATTACGATAAAATTTTTGCCTACGCTGGGAATCGAGCCCACGCCGGGTGACGCTCAGTTTACCTTCGTCGCCAGAACGATGATGCGGCCGGGTCGCACGGCGTCCAGGAAGTGAATGACTTCACGGTGCACGTTTTTGAGCACCGTGTCGAACCGACGGCGCGCCATCACGGCATGGCTGTTCTGCTCGAGAACCAGCGCGTGCAGACCACGCGTTCGGTTGTTGATTTCCGGCACCATCAGCTGAAAAAAGTCACATTGCGTCAGTTGTCAGTGGTGAAGGACATACCGCCTGCGTAGAATGCCAAATTCGTTATTTGTCACTTTATCTGCGGTCAGTATCTTCGTCGCTATCAGAGGCTCTAGGCCCAGGGGATCGAGCAGCGTGGTGGCATTAGAGGTGCAAATTTAAAATACACTTCACCACGGAGCGTGACTCTCTGTGGCATTACCACCCATCATTACGCGCGCTCAGTCCACACGGTCCGGCGCGTATCGCGGCCACGGTGTCTGTCGGTGCCCAGGGTATATTGAGGGCGCCGCCCACTCACCGATTGCCCGTTCAGCTTGACGTCGATGTTTTCCTCGCCCGCCTCCACCTCCAGGCGTACGATAGGCGCGGCGGCGGCCGGCCGTGCCTTCTGGGCGCTCACAGGGCTCAGTTTCAGCACCTCTGAGCCGTCACCGTCCACGTTCACTGTCGGCGGTCACAGGGCGAGCGGTCATCGGTGGGGGTAAAACACCCCTGCCGTGGGTACTCTTGACACGGAACGAAATGGATGAATGGAAGAGACATAGCGAAAAATATACGAACAGATGTTCCTAATATCTCGAAATAAACGGTGTAAATCAATCAGGATATTCCGAAAAAGCAGCATTGCATTACACACACGGACACATACAGCGGATTTAACACTTGTGACTTATATGATACCATATCCAAATATAGATGGAACGGGAGCAGTCCATGCTCTATCTGAATTTCACTCGAATAGTTGCATGACGCGACTAACCTTCGTTGAGTTTATCCCACGCGTCGACGTCCATTTTCTCCTCCTGTCTCTCTGCGTCCCAGCTGGTCCCCGGCCGTGGCTGATCCTCGTCCTCCTGCTCGCCGCCCGTGTCCTCGCCGTCCTCCTCCAGCTCCCTCCTCAGCTCCTGCTCCTGCTCCTTGGCCCAGCGGGTGGGCCGGCGGTGCTGCCGTCCCGCCGCCTCCTCCGTGTCGCGCGCCGGCGGCCGGCGAGCGGCCGCCGCCGCGGGGTGCCGCTGAACCCCCGGCTCGGCACGCGGCGAGGACAGGATGCAGAAGTCCACGAACATGACGATGAGCAGTAGAGCGATCACCAGGCGCTGCCGGGAGGGGGAGGGGTGTCGGGGCTGGTTCTGGAGCAGATCAGCGCCCCTGGTCTGCCGGCGGTACCGTACCTAAACCCCTGCGGTCTACGCCTGCTTAGACCCCTTGGATCAGTCAATCAATTGATTGGTTCTCGGTGAAAACGACAAGCGTGTAAAATCATGAAAAGGGAGATCCAAATTTTTAGAGCATAGTTACCACTTACCATAACGGTTCCGAATAAAGGGGGAAACACCAGAACAAAGGGCCAGGAATCATTCGTTCCGCAAGCATTCGTAACACTGAAATCATCAGCTTATTGATTTTCACCACTGTGTTATGTAGTGCTTTTACGGTGACATCGCAAACATGTTCGGGGTTTTCGATTATCAAAAGCACGGTGCCCCGTTCCACACCTCCCGGGCCGGTGATTTGATGATGAGGTCAGCTACGTTAGACATGATGGTGGATGGCAATTATAATGGCAATAGATATTTACGTAATCGACGCACCGCGATGTTTCTGTGGATGTCAATCATCTTCACGGAGAGGCAAGATTTAGTGCTGGCTTACCTTTCGCGATCCCATTATTTTGTTCAGAATCATTTTACCGGCCATCTTTATTTTAATCTTGTCGTCGTAAGTGATGTGATAGTCCATTGCCGAAAAAGGTCACCTGAAAGAAACAGTTAAAACTAACATAAAACACGGAAATATGGGCGATTATAAGCGTCAAACATGCTTAAATTACGTATATCATTTAGTATAGAACACTAACTAACACATTACGGCACAATAGATTATATGTAGAAGCATGCGATGTCTGTTCCTAGCCGTTTAGAGTTTAGACGGGAAAGTACCTAAGCGTGCCTATATCCACACATTGCTCTGTTTAGTTACTGTTAGAAGTCAATGTGGCGTGGTCAAGCGTGTTGACTGTTATTCGGTACGGCCGGATTCATTCGAAGAAAACATAACCTAAAGTCGTCCTTTTATCGGAACACTTTAGTGATGGAGGTCAGGATAGACCCGGGCTATTTCTAATATTTCTTTTTTGATTGAATGGGACTGTTTTAACAATGTCTGACATGATACATTGAACGGAACGGAACGCTACGAGGCATGTTGTCTGTTGACACGTACGGCAAAAATAACGGGACAAAACAGACGAGCTCACCGTCTACGAGAGAGGTTTCAGTGTCTGAAGGCCCATGTTCATGGAACTAGTGCCCCTAGACTACAAAAGGAATCCTTTCCACCTAACCTTAGAAGTTTGTCAATAATATAGACTCGTCATCGTCGGTTTAGCTGCGGCGAGCAACTATTCTGTTCCGAGAGGTAAAACGGAAGTACACAACCATCATGTTTATAACTCCAGAAACAATCAAGTCGGAAAAATTTCGGCCACCTCGAAATTAATGTACGAAAATCAGCGAACGGGAGCCAGTTGCCGTTGTTCGGTGACCCACCTGTGCCTGGAGGCGACGCCGACCGCCGAGCCGCCACCACTGCCGGCCGCTGTCGGCCGCCCGGCGCACTGGCGGCGGCGGCGGCGGCATCAGCGGTACCGCTGCGCCGCCGTCCCCGAGAGGTCATCCACCCGAGACGGTAGGTAGTGGCCCGCGGCCGTCCGAAACGAGCAGCGCCGGGCAGTTCGGGCCGAACTGGGACCTGGACTGGAGTCGTCAGCGGAGCAGCTGGGCGGCGGACAGGCCCTGCCGCCCATGGGAGTGTCGCTCTACCACCCACACAGCATCCCTCCCCCCTCTCTCTCTCTCTCTCTTTCTCTCCCTCTCTCCTATACATCGAATATTAATTAGACCAGCTGGCAAATGACCAATGCCGAAGAGACACGTTTATCCCCTTAGGGACCATATTGCTCTATGTCGGTGAACCGGGCGCGGGCAACGTCAGACGCTGGGTCCGTGTGTCATACCGTGGACTGTTGCCCACCGAAACTGACCCAACAATTCAGCCGGAACTTGTCCCAGACAACCACCGTCCTTTCTCGATAGGCCCGATACACGAGCCCGATATACGGACCTCCAGCACCAAAATGAGAGCCCAGGGGCCTGTCAGGCTAGCCAGGTGCCTTTCAGGCTAGCCAGAGGCATGCCAAGCTGGTCAGGAACCTCCCTGCTTCATGATATCCAGGAGGCAGGAACCTTTTAGGCCGCTAGCCAAGGGCCTTTCATTAGCCAGTCGAGCTAGTCAGGGGTTTTTCAGGTTAGCCAGGGGCCTATCAGGAATCACTCCCAAATCAGGCTAACAATATTCCTCTCAAGCAATGGCAGGGCCCTTTCAGTTTTCATCAGGCTGTCATGGGGACGGGACCCCTAAAGACAGTCACATCAGACAGCATAGAAGGCGGGGCATTTGAGCCGTAATGAGCCCACTGGCTCGACGCATCCATTCCAGTATGCAGACCAAGTGCCAACCGAAACTCTCATGATCTTTGATATAACCTATAGGGACGGCCTTGGTCCTGCCCAAGGCCGTATATAGTGTCCTGCCAGTATTTTTACATATTGTGGTCCTGCTCGGGAATCGAACCCGGATTGACACGGACTACCCAGATGATAAGAAGAACCCGACACGCGTAGCCTGCGCCACCAGCCGCTAATGCGCTGGGATATGTCGCCCTAAATTCTTAGTGCTCGTTGCTGAAATACTTTGTAAAATGACGTCATCGATTCTCACTTTAGACACCCATTTTCTTATTTTGAACCATTTTTACCCTATCAAATATAACTTAATAATTCTAATTTAAATCATATTGCCATTGCTAGAAACTGAAAGCCCCGAAAAGTGGTTCACGATTGTTTGCTAGCAGTTGAGGTCATACATACTCTTTGCTCATTGGCTGACAAAACGTCACTGGAAAGTCTGCTCACAAATCACTCACAATCTCATGTACGATGTAAACGCTTCGCTGGGCACGCACTACTTGTGGCCTGTGGCGATATTTTTCCCAAAGTAGAGCTGAGATACATCGTTCGATTTATTTTGCTTATAAGCTATATGGCCAACTGGCATATTTAATGCTAAAACCATTTTCATCGAGCCTTTGGCTATTGAGTCTGAGTTTGGGATCATGGATTGGTTGGTTGTAGCCTTAGATCGTCCGTAATGCTGTTGCCGGTTCCATGCCTTGTCATTGTCGAACTCCGTGGCAGAAGAAGGTTGAATTCTCAATAAGATATTCCAAGGAGTAATTCTTCACCTTTCATCAGATACAAGTGAGTAAACAAGACGTTTGTTTGCTGATGCATTGATGCAATAATGTCATAGTTAGGCCCATTAGGTACCCAATACCTACCATTATGAAAATAAATTGTCGCCAAAATTTGAAGCGAACATTTTATTTTGGAATGTGAGAAATATATTTTTTTTCTGAATCGAATCTTATTCATTGAACAGTTGGTAATTGCCTGGTATTAGTATATATTACGTCCGAGTGGACTATTGTGACGCTGTTGATACAATTGCCCTTTTTCATTTGCTTCCTGGGCCTCGTTTCATAAAGCGAGTCCATAACTTACGCCAGTTTTTGGTCTTGTATTGCAAGTGCATGTGAAGAGATAATGATAGTTTGAATTGTTGAATTTATTTATCTTGCAAGGAAGAACAGAAGGGAGAAGGGGAAATCAATTTATCACTTAACATGCACTTGCAATACAAGACCAAAAACTGGCGTAAGTTATGGACTCACTTTATGAAATCAGGCCCTGGGCTAAAAATTGAATAAAAACCACACCATATGTCATAAACCATATACCAACCTGAAAAATTGGGAAGTATTAAAGCAGGTGTCACACTTCTTTTTACAACCAAGGAGGGGCACTATGCCTAGATGTGCTTCTTTCTAACCAAACCAATATGCACAAACATAACTTAACCTGACCTAACCTAACCTAAGCTATATTAAAACCTACAACCTATAAGCTACAACATACAACCTAAAACCTACAAATCTACAGCCTAGGTACAGTCCACAGCAGAAGTAATGTGGGGTTTCAGGCATGGGTATGTTCTGCTTCTGAAGTTTAGGAACGATTAGCCAGACTACAATGAAACTTTGAATGTAGCTTATATGTATCGTCACCCTTGCAGCTGCAACTTTAGCTATTGACATCTTCTTTTCGATCACTCCGCATTAAACAATCGCCAGTCAAAGCCAACCGTTGAGATTGGTAAAACCCTACATTACTTTAGCGGTGGGCTGTACATCTCTGGGTAAAGCGCATCTACTTGGTTGAAAAAGAAGTGTGGCGTCTGCTTTACTACTACTGATAATTTTTCATGCCTGATGCCATTATTTGCTTGAAAATATGTACCTACACAACAAGCAGAATTAATGGAACTTAATCTAACTACCTTATCTTACCTAATGTAACCTTGCCTGATTTAGCATGTGGTTGGGTATTACTTAAAAATGTATGTGTAAAAAGTATTGTAAATGTTGATGTGTGGTGCACTTTTTAAGTTAAAGAGGAATGAGGATGTGTTCCTTCCTTTCATGTTTTATATTTTTCAATTTCTCTGGTTTCTCTGGAGAGTGAGTAAAGTAGATGTAGCCTAATAGTTTTCCTGGACATACAAACACCTGCTTGCATATTGGTGGTTATGTGTGTTTGTTGGGTTGGCATACCTTTGGCTTCTTCATTATGTACCTGCACTACATGATACATATACAATACATACCTACTCCTGCACAACATTGTGGCTGGAGATCTGCTATCCGTAGCCTCTATAGGCTCTTTAATTTGAGGTCTAAGAGTAAAAGATGGCGAATTTGTGCATATGTCTGGCTATTTAAATATCATTAGTGGGTTTAAGTCTACCTGCATCAGCATACTGTATCAAATTTTTAGATTATTTGTGCTTGTCTGCATGTGTATCCTATATCTCAGCATCCCCACAGTGTCATTTATATTTATATTTAATGTGCAATAAATTGTCTTGCACACAGACATTTGGGCCTTTTCAGTTATATGTTTGATTCTGTCCATAATTCAAGGTTCTAGTACATTTCCACCTCCCCAAGCGAATGCTTTTCATGCTTGCAGGTAAGGTTCCTGCTTTTTAAACTGTTCACTAGGCAGCATAGAAAGCATAAACAAGAAGTGTCTGCCTTTCAAGTATGTCTGTAACTGAACTGTAAGATTTTAAAGCATTTGTTAAGCTCATTTCTTTAAACAGCCAACATATTGGTATTGCCTCCACCAGCATATGGCTTAACAGCACCATATTTTATTTCAGAAGATGGACATCCCTTTGCCGGGTGAGGACATCCCGTTGCCGCCGTCGCCGCCACCTCCACCGCCGGCGGCCGGCACGGGACCCCTGCCCCCGAGCACAGCGGTGCCACTGCCCGTCTCCGGGCCGCCGCCGCCCGTCTCTGGGCCTCTGCCGCCCGTCTCCGGGCCGCCGCCGCCCGTCTCCGGGCCGCCGCCGCCCGTCTCTGGGCCTCTGCCACCAGTCACCGGACCGCCGCCGCCCGTCTCTGGGCCGCCGCCGTCTTTGTCCGGGCCGCCGCCGTCGGGGGACGGCCTGCTGCCGCTGCCCATTGGCCTGCCGCCTCCCAACTTCCATCAGCCGCCGCCGGGCGTGCCACCGGTGGCGCTGATGTCTCAGGTGCCGCCGCCGATCCCGCCGCACCTCTCGGGCGCTCCGCCGCTCATATCCACCGCACCGCCGGCAGTGCAGACGGCGCCGCCGCTCGTGCAGTCGGTGCCGCCGCCCGCCATGCCGGCGAGCTCCCCACTGATGCCGTCGGCGCCGCCGCTGATGGCATCTGTGCCCACCGGTCCGTCGGGTATCCCTTCACTGATGGCGCCGCTCCAGTTGCGCCCCGCCCCAGTCACGCCCATTCTGCCGCCGACCACCGCCTTGCCACTACCGCAGCAGCTGCAACAGCAGCAGGATGACAGGTGAGAACATACTGCATTATCAGTATCGGCGATGAATTATTTAGAAGAAATATTCGCTGATCTTGTTGGAGAATATCCTGAAAATAGTGCTGATCGAATATCTTTGATAATGATACGACTGGTAGATTCCAATACATTCGTTATGCAAGATGTGTTTTCATGCACCTTGTATATGATGTAGGTATGCAGACCACTGTCCCTTTTAATTTGTTCCTGTGTTGTTTTACAGACCTTACTCGCCCAGTGCCATGTACGACAGCGACAGTGGCATGGACGAGATCACACCGGCGTCCGCGGCCGCCCCAGCAGCGCCCCCGGCCGCGCCGGCGGACGAGGCGCCCGCAGCGCCACCCTCCTCGGTGTCGCAGATCGCGCCCAACGTGCTGAAGCGGCTGCCGCCCGTGCTCGGCAAGGAACAGGCCAAGAAGCGGCTGCTGGCGTTCGCCGCTGCCAAGCAGGGTGCGCCCAAGAAGGCGCCACCAGCGCCCAAGCCGGTCAAGACGGCCAGCGCCGCCGCGGAGGAGGAGGAGCGCCGGCGAAAGAAGCGCGAGCGCAGTCCTCTCCTGATTGAACAGATAAAACGCGAGGAAGAGGAGCTCAAGGAGACGCTTCAGCTGGGCAACATCCTGCCGACGACTGCGGGTGTTATCCTGGGCGACCCGACCACCATCATGGCCTCGATGGCCTCGCTGGCAGCCATGGCGCCCCCTCGTAACCGATACGTGGTAGAGGCCCAGGAGAAAGCCAACGCCGAGGCTGCCGTGGAGGCGGCGGCGGTAGCGGCCGCCGCGCAAGAGGCCGCCGCCCCAGCGAGCGTGCCGGCTTCCGCCTCCAGCTCCCAGCCGCAGCTGCAGCGGATGGTGGCAGCTGTACTGCCGGCCCCGCCGGCCACCGAGCCACCGGCTGCTACAGATGGGAGTCAGCACACCCGCACTCCGGAGCCGCCGCCGCGGCCCACCGCACTGCCCGTCTCCTGGCAGGAGTACAAGGAGGGCGGATACCAGCCAGACGATATCCGCAACATCCGCACCGAGCTGATTCGGCGCAAACGACGCGACAAGGACGACCGCGACGCGCACCGGCGTCGGCGGCGACGGCGACACTCCTCGGACTCCAGCTCCGACGGGCGCCTGTCGTCGCCGTCGCCAGAGCCGCCGCTGCTGAGACCCGATTACGATGACCGCATGATCGTGTATGTCAGTGTCGTTGGCCGCTCTCGCGCTCTGGAGTTCCCTCGCGAGACAGTCAAGACGACCAAGGCGCGGCCGCACCTGACGTATGCGCCCAGTCTGCGTGTGTTTTCGCGCATCAAGACGCGCAAGGCCGTGCTGGCCGATTGTGACGAACCGCGTCGCCGTGATATGCTGGCCGTGATGGAGCGGACGGAGCCGAGCGCGGCTGCGGCGCTGCCTTCCGAGCCGGCCAAAGAGCAGCCCTGGTTCTCGCGAGCGCTGACCGCTGCCGACGACGAGCCGCCCTCGCACGAGCGCTCCAAATGGGACGATGACACTGAGCCGGCCGAGAAGGGGGCGCAACAGAACGGCGCCGCAGCGGCCATGGAGCCAGACGGCGGCCAGGAGCCGACCAGCTCCGAGCAGCCGATGGAGGTGACCTCGTCGACAGCCGACGACCTACCGCAGACCGCAGAGGTCAGCACTGCGCCGGACTCAGCTGTCGCCAGCGCACCGCCTCCGGAGAAACGGGCCAGGAGACAGCGGAGCTCGACCAATGGAGAGGACTCTGAGATGACTGGCGACATCAGCAGCGCCATCAGTAGGGAGGTGGAAGAGGAGATGCTGCGGATGAAGAAGGAGATGGAAAAGGAGACAGACAAACGGGCGAGGAAGGATAGTACAGGAGGTGAGGTGAAGCTGAAAAGGGACAGCAGTGTTGACGAGCTGGGTCACAAAGGCAATGACAGTGTTGTCGAGGCTGGGAGCCGGAAGAGGAAGGAAAGTGTTGGTGAGGAGGCGAATCGAAAGAGGAAGGAGAGCGTTGGTGAGGAGGCGAACCGGAAGAGGAAGGATAGTGCTGGTGATGGAGCAAGCCGGAAGACACAGGACAGTGTTGCGGAAGAGGTGAGCCGAAAGAGAAAGGACAGTTTTGGGGAAGAAAAGAGTAGTAAGAGGAGGGACGATAGCACTAAAAAAGTGGACATGCGCGAGAAAGAGGAGCTTGATGTATCTATGAAGAGCGTTGATGAAGAACCAAGCCGTAAAAGAAAAGACAAAGGTGATAAACGGAGAAAGGATGACGACCCAGTTGACGATGATCGCCGCGAGAAGAAAGGGACTGACGGTGACAGAGCCAGTCGGAAGAGAAGAGATAGCCCTCACGATGTAGCATCGCGATCAAGGGAAGAATCGACAGGCACTGACAACCGTCAATCCAAGCGCGATACCAGTGACGACAGACAGGCTCGTAAGCCAAAGGACGATAGTCCATACGAGTCCAGCCGAAAAAGGGATGCAAGTGATGAAAGGAGCAGAAAGGATAGGAGCAAGGACACAGGTGATGACAGAATGAGTAGAAAGGAAAGGAACAGGGACGCAAGTGATGACAGAAGTAGAAAGGAAAGGAACAGAGACACAAGCGATGACAGGAGGAGTAGAAAGGGAGACGATCGCCGCGAGGAAAGGGGGGATGATCGCCGCGACCCTATCGGGGACGACTCTCGAAAGAAGCATGAGAAGATGGACGTGGATGATGGTAAGAAAAAGAAGGATAATCGAGACGAAATCGATGAAAAAACGGGCGCTGATAGTGACAAACGCAGCCGAAGGTCGAAGGAACCGGAAGATGAAAGTCATTCCCGACGTGAAAGAAGGAAGGAGAGAGAAGGAAGCTCCAAGAAGGAAAGAGCTAGTGTTGACGGCTCGGAAAGACAGAAGGAATCTGATCGAAGTGAGGAACGCGATCGGGGTAAATATAAAACCGTTGACGCTGACGGAGACCGGAAGCGGAAGGACAAGGAGAAGGAACGCGAGCGCTCGCGTGAAAAGCCATCTCCGAAGAAACTATCGGACCGCAGTGGCGACGAATCAGATGACGAGGAGAGCTATCGGAATGAAGTTATGGCGGCAGACCGAAAGGCAAACAAGGCTAAGGCGAAGGATGCGTCTCTGAAAAAGAGTAAGGCCAAGGAGTCTGTTGGCTCCGACGATGAGAAGCACAAGAAGCGGAAAAAGAGTAAGAAGAGTAAGAAAGCTAAACATAACGACGACGAATCTGATGAGGATGACCACGGAAGTAAGAAAAAGAAGAAGAAAAAGAAGCACAAGAAAGGCGGCTCCGACACGGACTCAGATTCTGACGACGAAGCCGACGAAAAGTCCAAGCGGAAACATCGCTCCAAGAAGAAGAAAAAGAAGGATGAAAAATCAGACTCTGATACCGAAGAAGAATCATCAAAAAAGAAAAAGAAGAAGTCCAAGAAGAAGAAAAAGAAGAAGAGCCACTCTCGGAAACGTGACACGTCCGGCTCCAGTGACGACTCCGACTCTGAGGGCGGAGCGGGCGCAGGCGGCGACAGCAGCGGGCGGAAGCGCTCGCGCCGGGACGACCGTGACTCAGGACGGCAGGGTCGGGACTCGTCCAGGAGCGACCGCCAGCAAGAGCGGCACTCGTCACACAAACGGCGCCGCCGCGACAGTCGCAGTGACTCCGTGGAGAGCCTGGCTGACACGCCACTGCTGGCGCGTGACCTGGCGCCGAGTGGGCTGCTGGACGCAGCCGACACGCCTCCGGGTGGTCCCCGTGTCAGCGACAACCTGCTGGCGGCACCCAGCGGCCTGCTGGGCTCTGAGGCCCGGATGCAGCCGAGTGGCTTGCTGTCAACAGAACAGGGGTCAAGCTCATCGGGGCTAGGCACTCCGACGCCCGACAATCAGCAGCGGCCGTACAACCTCGAGGAGGAGTTTGACTTCGGTGCCACGCCCTCGCCGCCGCCGGCCAGCGATGAGGAGGAGCCGATACCACCACCGCGGGTGCCCCGCTCGCCAGTCGGTCTCGGGCCTGACCCGTCCCCGTCGCCTCCGCACCGTCCGGATCGAGCAGGTTCGGCAGCTATGGTTCACGACCAGCCGGACCGTCCGGCCTCAGGGGACCGGTACTCGCCATCTGAGATGTTTGCTCGCTCACCGTCACCGCTGTCAGAGATTCAACCCAACACCGTTGCTGCCAGTGCTCCCGTTAGTGTAACGTCCACTGCTGTCGCGCAGGAGCCGCCGGCACAACCTACCCCGCCTCGACCCCGTCGCCGTTTTACTGATGTTCCCGAACCTGTCATGCCAGAACCACAGCCCCAGCCGCAGCCAGCCCTGGCTGGGCTGAGTCAGGAGCTTACGTCTGAGACCGCACACGGTTCTTCCCCGTACGACCCGACGTCACCCAGCTCGCCGTATGATCCGACGTCGCCCACGTCGCCTCAGCGCAGCCCGAGCCCGGAGCCGGCGCGGCCAGAGACAGGGTCTCAGGTGGAACCAGAGCGGCCCAGTGCGCCGCCGCTGGCCCCACCAATACCGGCGGTGGTAGCCGCTCCGCGACCGCTAGCCCGCGAGCCCAGTCCCCGCAGCGAGGAGCGAGTAGTGAGGACCACGGAGAAGCGTCCTACTAGCCGATCGTCAGGAAGACGCAGCGAGTCGCCGCGCAAGGACGGCCGACAGCGGCGGAGATCTGGCTCCTCGCAACAGAAATCCAGCCCGTCTCGGCCAAAGGCCATCTCTCCCAGTCCCGCCCGACACCGAGAAAGGTCCCCGGCTTCGCCGCGGCGCAGGGGCAGCTCTTCGCGTAGCAAGCTGAGCCACTCACCACACAGCCGCCGCTCGCCCAGCCCGCGTCACCGGACGAGCCGAGAGCGTCGCGAGCGCAGCCCGCCCGCCTCGGCCGGCCGCAGAGGTGGATCATCCCGACGCCCGCGCAGTCCGAGTCCTGCTAGCCGCCGCCGCGGATCGTCGCCCCGGCGGCCCAGTCCCGGTCGGCGCCGCAGCAGTCCGGTACGACGGCGCGGCAGTCCACTGCCCAGTCCGCCCCGCCGCGCTGGCAGTCCGCTGATGAGCCCTCCACTGCGCGTGATTCACCTCTCGGGTAGCCCTGCGGCAGATTCTCTGCAGACAGCTATCCGCCTGTCGCCGAGCCCTCCGCGGCGCGTGACGCGCATCTCATCCAGCACGTCCCCGTCGCCGTCGCCTGGCCGGGTGGCGGTGTTCCCACGTGAGCTACCTGTCCCTCATGAGATCCCTCTGCCTCCCAGTGGTGGCCTGGACGCCGTGCCGCTGCCGCCGGCCGAGGGAGGGGACATCCCACTTCCGGCGGAAGCTGCAGAAGTCCCGCCGCCCCCGCCACCAGCAGATAAGCCCCCGTGTCCAGAGGAGCCGACTCCACCGCCGCCGCTGCCGCGCGAGCCACCAAGGCCACCTAGCACTAAAGCGAGGCCGCCGTCGCCGCCGCGGCCCATCGGGCTTGGCATCAAGTTAGTGGCGAAGCGCACTATCCGACCGGTGTCCTTAGGGGCATTCGCGGACCCAGAGGACGACTCTCCACGTGGCCCGCCGGTATGTAGCGCGGATGAAGACACATCACCTCATCCGGAAGATGTCAGGCCTGGCAGCCCAGAAGGGACAAGGCGTGAAAGCGGCCAGCTTTGGCAGTCACCACTGGTGGAGGAGCGTCGGGTTCACATGCAGGAGCACGTCGACTCGCCGACTGAAAAGCGCCGGTCACGCTGGGGACAGACGCCGCAGGACGTGGCGAAATTAGAGACAGGGGCAGCGGTGCCCGTCTCGACTTCGCCACTGTGGGCCGACCAACACGAGTCAGAGTCTCCGATACCGACGGAGCGGAAAGAGGTCCGCCTCACGCCCAACTACCAGGTGAACATGGCCTTGTCGGGAAAACTGCTGGAGGACGTGCGCTCCGACCAGTCTAGCTCATCCACACCCCAGCGAATAGTCCGACATTCAGACCTCAAAAGCCCCGAGAGGGTGACGAAGCCCACCGCATCAGGTCGACCCACCAGCCCAACTGAGCGTCGCGTCAGTCGAGATAGTCATCGGTCAAGCCCGGCGCGAAGCCGCGAATCGCACTCGCAGTCGCGAGATCTAGATGAGAAACGATCACGCAGTCCCAAGTACAGGTCGCGCAGCAGTCCCTCGCGACGCTCGCGTAGTCCCAAATCGAAGAAAAGTGATCGTGAAAGTCCATCTAGGAGATCGCGCAGTCCTAAGTCGCGATCTCGCGCCAGTCCGACGGCAGTGTCCCATGCCAAGTCCCGCTCCCGCAGCAGTCCAAGTAGGCGCTCACGAAGTCCGAAGGTGAGGGACCAGACAAGTCCCTCACGGAGGTCACGCAGTCCCAAGTCCAAGTCCCGAAGCAGTCCTAGACGTTCTCGCAGTCCTAAATCTAAGTCTCGCAGTAGTCCTGCTAGACCAAGGTCACGAAGCCCCAAGTCGAAAGCTCGTTCGAGCCCTTCGAGGAGGTCTCGCAGCCCCAAGTCGAAATCTCGGACCAGCCCTTCAAGGAGGTCTCGCAGCCCCAAGTCGAAGTCTCGGACCAGTCCTTCGAGGAGGTCTCGCAGTCCCAAGTCGAAATCTCGGACCAGCCCTTCAAGGAGGTCTCGCAGCCCCAAGTCGAAGTCTCGGACCAGCCCTTCGAGAAGATCTCGCAGTCCGAAGTCCAAGACACGCACTAGCCCCAGTAGACGATCCCGTAGTCCCAAGGTCAAATCTCGCTCCAGCCCCAGCAGGAGGTCCAAAAGTCCGAAGTCCCGTTCCAAGACAAGTCCTAGCCGCCGCTCCAGAAGTCCCAAGTCGCGGTCTCGCGGCAGTCCCCGATCGCGCTCCCTCCTCAGTCCGCATCGATCGTCGCCGAGTCGGTCTCGGTCTCGTGGCAGCCCGCGGGCGAGGTCAGACCGGGTCAGTCCGGGTCGCAGGTCGCCCGGGGCCAGGTCACGCTCCAGGGGCAGTCCAGTTCGCTGGTCTCGCAGCCCGTCTCGCCGGTCGCGAACCAGTCCCGGCCGTCGCTCGCGCAGCCCGAAGTCACACACGCGCCTCAGCCCAGGACGACGCTCGTGGAGTCCACGTGCGCGACTCTGGAGTCCGCCGCGCCGCTCGCGCAGTCCGCGGCTACGCGGCCGCGGCAGTCCGGGCAGGAGGTCACGCAGTCCTGACTGGCGCTCGCGGCTGAGTCCGCGCCGCCGCTCAGCCAGTCCGCCGCCGGGCGCCGGCAGTCCGCCGGGTGGGCCGGACTGGAGCCGACTGCCGTCCTGCTACCCGGAGAGGCCTCCGCCGCCGCCACAGCAGCAGCAGCAGCTGGCGCCGGCGCTGCAGCACATCCCGCTGCCGTCCTCCAACCTGCGCCAGGTGCCGATCGTGGACGGACCGCCGCCGCCGCCCTCCAAGGACTTCAGCCTGCAGCGCAGCCTGGCTGACTCGACCATCAGCGACTCGGAGCTGACGGACGACCGGCTCAACGACGACCTCTGGAATGTGGCCATCAACTCGCGCACGCAGCCGCCGCCGCCGCCGCCGCCGGCTCCGCCCAAGCGCCTGTCGCTGGACGAACGACTGGCGATGGAGCACGGCGTGCCGCCGCCGGCGCCGCCGCAGCCCGACTTCTCGCTGCCGCCGCCGCCGGTCGACAGGCCGCGCTTCGTCCAGGTGGGCAACATGCTGCAGGTGCTGCCGCCGCCGGTGGCGACCGCCGCGCCGCCGGCGCCGCCGCCGCCGCCGCCGCCGCCCGCTCCGGTGGCGCCGGCCGTGCCCATGTCTGCGCCGCCGCCGCCGCTGCCCCAGCCGGTGACGCCCGTCGCCGCCACCGCTGCCGTTACCGCGCCGTCCGCCACCGTTCAGCACATCACTGAGACGCTGGCCCGGCTGACGCAGCAGGCAGCGGCGGCGGCAGCGGCGCCGGCTCCGCAGGCCAACTGGTACTTTCCGATGTACCAGCCGGCGGGCAAGCGGAAAAAGAAGGAAAAGAGGAAGAAGAGGAAGAGAGAAAGGGGCGATCCAGAGGAGGAGAGCATTGCCAAGAGGGCGAGGAAGCTCTCTAAGCGACAGGTCAGTCGGGCGCCAGGTGTTTTACGCATGTCTGTCAGTTCTTGAGCCAAAAGAATCTTCTGTTATTCCAATACAAATATCCGTCTTGTCATACTTCGGTTCTCATATTTGTGTTCTGTGTGAGGTGTGTTGTTGCGCAGTGTTTTTATGGTTTGATAAATATTTGGCCAAAGTTTAACGGTAATTTTACGTGCTATATTGACTCCGTTGCTTTGTCGTGCGTTTAGAAAAAGCTGAAGGAGGGAGTGGATGCCATTATCGCCGGAGGCGACCCGTCACTGCCGGGGGCTGATGACGAAGACAGGGAACTGCTCAAGGTGAGACCCGACCAGCGGGTGGAATCGATGTGTGCGATGTGCACCATTGACTCGCCGTGTATGCTTTTGTCTTTTTATTTCCTTGGGCATGTGTAACCTTTGCCTTGGATGTGTAACGTGTGTCCATTTTTTACAGCTAAAAACTGGTAGTTTTAACAGTCCAATCGTAGATCTTGCCAAGCGCCCTTCTCATTTTCATTCAAGTTTACGTGTTTACGATTGTAGGTCCTCTCACCGCTTTGCTTCAGTAACCTAGCTATTCAGCGGTCTGTGTCGTCCACTCGGTCGTCTGTATTCCTGTAGTCGTCTCCGTTCCCTCCGCTGTGGCCGTGACGCCTCCCGTCTCCGTCCTCCGCCGTCCTCAGGAGGCCATGTCTGAGGTGCCTGACATGGAGACGGCTGAGTACGTGGCCTCCGACGCCGAGGGAGAGGAAGAGGAGGAGGAAGAGCAACAGGAGGAGCCCAGCCGGCCCCGGCCGCCGGTGCCCCTGCCGCCCGCCGACTCCGTCAGCAGCATTCTCGTCATTGACGGGTTCAGGTGCGGCCCCAAATAATGAATCTCAGCCCGCTAGATAGTGCTAATAATGTAGATGGTATACGATGGATGAGCTGACATTTTTTTAAGTCGCTCTGTACGTTTTGTCATTGTATAAAATGTTCAAAAATGTGCCTGAGGTATCAAATTATGACGTCGATTTTCCGTCTAATTGCATCGCCCTCCTTCGCTGTTCCTATGCCATCTTTGTCCCGATTTTTTTCCCGTGTGCTCCCAAGTCCCATGGCGTGTGTCGCTTTGATTTCCCATCTCCCCACAATCCACATACCAGCAGGGTCGGGATATCACCACATCATCGCTCATATGACCTTGTCGCGTATATGCCCGCCTGTATCTGTCCCCGTCGTCTGACCTTCCCATCCCCGGCGCCACCCTGCAGTAAGGACCGTTTGGAGAAGCGGGTCGGGTTCGCCGACGGCTACCGGCCGGGCGAGGGCTCGCCGTCGGAGGGAGAGCCCACGCCGCCGCCGTCACCCACCTCCTCGCCGCCGCCGCTCCGCATCTGCCGCAACGGATGGCCCAACATCAAGGTGGGATGCAATGGTCGAAATGACGTGGTTAAAGTAAATGACGTGAAATCTCGATGACAGTTGTGATGATCGGTGTTTAGCAGATAATGTGTCGTCTGTCAGGTAATGTTCTTGGTAGCTGTATTTACCCGATGTGATGATTATATGATGGCTGTGCATTGTGTGATGATTGGGCCACACTAGCTGTCCATTGAAAGCCAGCTTTAGTTAGATTGCATGGTAGATTTTCGGTAAACGTTAAGCGTTGCGATCGCAACGAATATCAGCTGTATCGATTTCAGTGAGTCTGGAACATTCACTATTCTAGAGCTTAGTCACCTCACGGCTTCCGCACAACTTCTCCCGCTGCCCTGTGAATGTACCTGTACCTCCGTTAGTCTGACGTGTACTCCCTGCTCTCCGGCAGCTGCGTGTGATCCGTCAGATCCTGGACGCCGAGGACGAGGCTGTGGACCCGGCGCCGCCGCCGCCCCCTGCCGAGAGCCCGCCGCCGCAGCCCTACTACTACCTGGGCCCGGCCGGCGCGCTGCTGCTCTACATGCAGCCGATCGGTGAGTGATTGGACAGCCGCCCCGCCGGATCCTACCTGATCTGACTGAATTGGTATGATCCGGCCCGAATCGACCCGACCTCTCCGGTCTGCTGGGCTGAACCCACACCCCTGTCTCTTTTCCCTGACCTCTTGTCGCTGGCCGCAGGTCTCCCTGTCCGTTTGCTCTCTGTACTGAACTACTTCGTGTGCTGTCCCTGAGCTAAAGTTCCTGAGCGCCCTCAGACTGACGAGGTTCCTCTGTGTTTCCAGACGCCGAGGGCCCTCTGGCGGCCGGCGCGGCCCCGGCGCCGTGCGCGGAGCCGTTGCTGGCCCCGCAGCCGGCCATGGTGTCAGTCGGCTGAGCCGACCACGGCCGGTAGAACGGTAGTCGCCCACCCGGCAGGTCTCCCTCCCCTCCCCTCACCCCTGCACATACACACAGAGGAGGATGCCCGGTCCGAGCGGCCGCCAGAGCGGGCCTCCTCCCCACTGTGTGTCGTCATTTGGTCGGTTTGATATAGAGGACGCAAGTGTTAGTGGTAGCCGTGGGTACGCCGACCGTTTTGTGTTGATTGTCATCATTTCGGGTGCTTTTTGCGTTGCTGAGGGCAGTGGTGGGAAGCTCTCGTTGGATTCACACCAGAACAGACTTTTTCCGTTCAGGACGCAGCAGATTTCACTGCGCTGTGAGGATTTTCTGAGGAAGGTGTCGTTTATGATAATCCCCGTTCGGCCACCCTCGATATGCCAAAACTGTTCGGATCCCGGGTGGTCGGATGCGGACATTCAACGCTGGGCTGCCTTGATTGGCTGGCTTCCGAGCGAATCACAATTGATTGGCTACTGCTAGTCGTGTAACATTCGATCCCCCGATTAGTCAGTTCCGAGTCGGCTGGCTTTTGATTTGCCAGTCAGGGACTGGCCAACCGGTGTTTGGTCAGTCCCGAACCGGTCATTTTTTCTAGCTGTATCAGTTGTACGCGCGCGTCTGTACTTGTCTACTAATACCCGTTTAGAATAAAGTCTCTTGGTGTGCCGTTTGCGCTGTGTGCCTGTGGCAGTGTCGATGTATGTGCTGGTACTGCTCCGGTTGACTGTGGCCTGACTTTCCAGCCGGTGAGCGCAGCACCTCGTCAGGGCCGGCCCCATGTGTGACCGTTGCGTGGTGCGCGGCCGGTCGGCGCTCGTTGTTGGTTGTGTGGGCACAGCTGCGGCAGCCGACCAGAGCCTGGACAGGTGGGTGGTTCGGTCCACCAGGCGAGGCTGCCGATCGCGACATAATCACACGGGGTCAACATCGGCGCCAACACCAACAAGTCACACACACACTCATTCATGCTCATGCTCTCACTCACAACAACTTACAAATACTCGCCGTCTCACCACAGTTCATCTACGAGCCATGCACTGTTACGCTACGGCGAGCCGCGCTCAACGAATTCTGCGGGTCCCGAAAATGTAAAGTGAACGTTGGTATGATGATTGATTAAATTGTGTATCTCGGGAATCACATATGAATTAGTTGACTCAGGTCAACGATGTATGCTTCGTTGAAATCAACAATTTGACCTGACTTTCTTATCTAGCTATCTCCATTTTGTATCGTTCGGTTAATAATTCATGCCGATTTCGTCCAAGATCAAGAAGAAGTTCTAAAGTCTTCCGAGCTTGACCTTGATTGATAGCCTGAAGTATGACGGGTTTGCATGCAGCACAACATTTAAGCAGACTGCGAAATTAATGAGATGTTTGACTGTTTTGGCGAACATTTATGCGTGAACATTTCGAACCAGAAGTATAACTCGTTTTCTTTGCGTTTTTCTTCGTGTTTATTTCGAACCATAACTATAACGTGTTTTCTTCGTGCTTTCCAGCGAACGCTAAAGAAAGCATTATTTTTTTCCATTGTCATTGTATTCACCCCTGGCACAACGAGTTGAATCCACGAGACAACTTCTGGGGAACAATTGGGCATTTGGAATCGTGTTTCTTTATGTTGTCAATACTCAAACGTGTAAGGAGCGTGATTCACTTCGTATCCACTTCTTCCGTTCGCCAACTACCCGAGACTTTCCTCAGTACCTGTATTTATTGCTGCTTTTCTTCACAGGTTTCACCAGTAGAATAAAATAAAGACAAAGACTTTCTTATTTACATCAAGTCATCCAGTATTCTGTTTTTGTTATCCATGACATTCTCTCAGTCCACTGTCGGTTTAGACAACTCAAATAAGTACTCGTATGTTGCACCGATCGCCTGATCATAATTATTGCCACCCTATGGCCGTTGAGTGGCGGCGGAGTCTGGGCGCTTCGCATGACTGCTGCGGCCATTGTTTCAGAGGCCCCACACAGGAGAGAGACAGGCGAGACAGAGCCGAGAGGCTGAGACATAGAGCGAGCGGCGAGCGCCGAGCCGCGCCAACAGTCCACAAGCGGACTCTGTCGGTGTCCTCCCTCTCAGTCACTGAGAGGGAGGGATGGAGCTGCTCCGCCCCTTCCCCTGTACCCGCTTTCCCCTGCCCCGCACCCGCCCATCATCCCCTCAGACTTAAAGGGAGGGATGGAACTGCTCCCGCCCGTTTCCGTTACCACACCATCTACTGCGCAGCCGCCCGCCCGCCTCCGCCCCTCCCTCCCTCTCAGACTTGAGAGAGAGGGATGAGTCTGCTCCGCCTGCTCGCCCCTGGACCCGGCTATCTGCTCCGTAGTTATATTCATCCCTCCCCGCCCATGCAGCCCCGCCCCACCCAACCCCAAGCCCCCGCCCCCGCCCCACCCCACCCAGCCCCGCCACGACACACACACTCCCAAACGCTCAACACGTAAAACGACTCAGATCATGTGCGCTTCATTGAAACCTACATTTGCTCTCAGCATATGTTAGCACTTTTTCGACCCCCAAAACTCTGAACCACTGGCGAAGCCAGTAACCGAAAAAAAACAGCCCTCTGAGGCGGAAACCGATCGTCTTAGCGTTTTCACCTCGGCATGCTCTTGTCTCAAACGTGACATCTCACGGCCCGCGGCCATGCACCAATTTGTGGGTTATGGGCAGCTGATGGCATCAACGTGAGTCCACATCCTGATCTGCCTTGTTTTGATTCGGCCCTCTACATGTTGCTGTTTTACGTAAGAATTAGGTACTCCCGATTGTTTTGTAAACTTCCCCGCTTTCCACCGCACTCTTGTTGTGTCCAGCATGATAGTATCGGAAGGCCAATTACCATGTTTGTTTTCTCCTAGTCGACTAATTTTAAGATCTTCCCATGGTGCATGGGAATCGACAAAACATTTTATTGAAGCTGATGGGTTCGGAATTCGAATTGACATACCCAGCTACCCAACTTCCTCAGTATCTTACGAAAGTGTTTCGTTTTATCCCTGACAGGTGGCGCTACTGTGTGCCTGCACCCATTGGCTTCCTACAGCTGTACTCGTGTTACCCGCTGGGTCGTGGTGGGTTAAACAAGCTAGACCCTGAGCTTATGTCGAGTCCTGATGGCTCTACGTAGGGACACATCAGTGAACTGTACTGAAACCCTCAGAAGCACACTTATTCTCTCATATTCCGGTTTTGAATCCGCAAGAGCCCGTGTATTGCCTCAAGGGCTCGGCTGGGCTATCAGAGACCAGCTCAAGTCCTCAGAAACCTACGTAGGCACGCGTCAAAGATATGTGTGGACCTCACGAAGGTCCACAAAGGTCGACTGGGGTCTTCAACCCAGCGGCAGCAAAATTTCTGGGCCGTAGCCAAGGCCCTATATAGCCGTAGCTGGTTTTACTCACAGTGTATATAAATAGTTTTACTCTGGCTAGCTCCTGCACTTCACTCCGGCCGAAGTGCGGGCAAGGTCTGGAACTCTACTGGACCTGACACACGATCCCAGAGCTCGCCCGCACCACAGCGGGACTTTTGCCGCATCAGCCGTGCCGTACCTCAACCATACTTCAGCCACAGTAAGCCAGAGCAGCTAAGAGACAGCCGGACCGGAGCCGGACTTGAGCCGTGGCAAGGAGCCGGATTTGAGCCAGACTTGGCGGTCCGAAACCATACCAATCCGGGAGGACTTCGGCAAAGACTGGCTGACCGGAATAGAGCCATATCGACCCAAACCCCGGCTCTGGCGTCGTTCCGTTTACACCGGCCTGAGTCTGGCCTGTTGGAGTTGCCGGGGCTAAACGGACTTTAGCCGAACCAAATTGCTGGCTGGGAGCGACTGGCATGGGCCACTCGACACTGGTGGGACCCTTTAAAATCTGAGTGGACCTGTAGAGACAAGTGACAACAATGGGAGATGGGACTAGCCCTGGTAGTTCGACGTTGGGCCACGCCGTTGAGGTCCCAAAGAGGCCGGTCTCGAACACTCAGAAGCTAGCGTAAAACCTGTAAAACTCACTGGGGTTCATTATAGGAGCCTGCGTGCTACCCCAAGAGCCCTGTGGGGCCGTCTGTCGTCGTCAGGCTGGAGCGGAGCCTGGCAGCAGCCTATCGCGCGTATGTTCACGATTCGACAACAATCTGTGTACATACTTTCTTTGTGTAATTTCTCTGACCGGTTCTCAGAAAACTACCCCCCCCCCCATTTTTCCGACCCAAAACTATACCGGATCTGCATCGATATCTCTAGGTATGTACCGGATCGGAGGTCCGGGGGATGGGGGGGGGGGGTATGCTAACCGCTTGCCTTTGTGGAGATGGTAATGTTTGGATGCTTGGTAACCTGGATCTGAGTCAGGTCACCGTTCACCGTGCCTGTTGCCCACAGTACGATCGCGCCGATAAGGCATGTTTCGTGACCATGGACATAGGTGGAGAATGGTTTATGGTAGGGAGCTGTGGGTGTTCGTGCAATGCAAATCCACCGCCTCAGTGCGCCAGCTCGGCTTTGGGTTCGCAGCAGACGGCGTAGGCCAAGTCACCCGCACCAGGGCGGTCGATTTGCGGTGCCCGAACACCCACAGTTCCTGACCTTACAATCAGGCACGTACCCAGGATTTCGCCCAGGAGGGGGCCACCTGCTTTCGAAGGGGCCCCCAGGTCACCCGGGGTCCCCCATGCGACCAGGTCCCCCGGCTGCCAGGGGCCCACTAGGAGACTAGGGGCCCCCAGGCGATCAGGGGCCCCATGCGATCAGGCCCCCGGCTACCAGGGCCCCCTAGGCGACTAGGGGCCCCAGGCGATCAGGGGCCCCATGTGACCAGGCCCCCGGCTACCAGGGGCCCCCTAGGTGACCAGGGGCCAGGAAACCGGGAGCCCTCGGATGACTGCAAGGGCCCGTCGGGTCATCAGGGGCCCCTCGGGTAACCAGGGGCACATAAATGAAACTTTGATATCAATTTTTCTTTCGAGTTAAAGACGTTTTATCCAGTTTTTGAGAAAAATATCCCGGGGCCTGAGGGGCCCCCTGAGCGCCTTCGGCGCTCAGGAGGGGGCCATGGCCCCCGTGGCCCCCCTTGGGTACGTCACTGCTTACAATCCTCCACGTATGACCATGGATAATACCAGGCCTGCCGGCCTCTCGAGTATCTCGAAATGGTAACTGACACCACGCTTGATCCGGGGTTAGGTCACCAGGTGGTGTTGCTTGACCGGTGAAGCGCGGTTGTGCACAAGGGCCAGGTCGCGATGACATCACATGAATTTGACGGCGGTACGTGGGCGATGCGTAAACGGCGCCAAGAGGTCAGGCTTTGGTTACATTGTGTGTCATGTGACACGAGCAACCGCGTTGCTGGTACAGTCATAATATCTTTCGAAAATGCGGTCGCTCATGCATGACATCAGAGACCTCAGCATTTCGGATATGTTGAAAATCGGATTGGGCTCGGATGGACAGAAACCGTCGGCTCAGGTCGGTGTGGATAATACTAAACTCCGTGGCCAACGGCCGTTACAATGGTGTTTGACTTCAACAATTTGGAGAAGAAAGTTTTAGTCGATTTTTAAAAATATTAAGAAGAATTTATTAGTTTCGATTGGAACGACATTTATACGTTTGTTTATGTGCTTGATCTAATTGCGCTGGATTCGCAAACGG